CGCCAGCGTTTTACCAAATGAAAATGATTATTGAATGACTGTGGCTGAGCCATTAAAAGAGCGTGAGCACATAAAAGTCTGAAGTTAAAGCTTCTGTGGACCCACTCAATTAAAAAGTACGAGGTAATCGCTCATACATGCTGTTAGATTGAGTTATGGTGGTTAGCTGGGTCTTCAGCCACCACTGCTTCTTGGTCTGATCTGCAATTACTTAAGAAATTAAAGAGAGGCCCTTAAAGAGCAGCACAGGTTGATTTTGAGGTGACCTTTAAAAAGTTCCTCTAAAAGTTGGACTGCAGGTTTTTCCTCTTTAGGCTGCTCAGACACTGCAGAGGATTATTATCCTTAATCTGCAGCCACAGCCAGTGCGTGACATGAACCCAAGGACTTTGAGCTAAATATTTATAATAATCAAAACCTGAAAATGAATTAATCCTCTTTACTCATTTATTGATTTGTTTTTCACCTTTCACACCAGGATCCACATCCTCTGACAGCCTGTTAATGTCCTTCTTTCAGACTACAGTGTTTTCAGTTAGTCATTACTGCCGTGTCTCTTTAAAGTTCATGGACTCTGATGATTTAAATCTCAAAAATATAATCTAAGAATCAGTTGGAAGGATACACAGCAAACTTTTAAATAGGTCTTAAAAAGCTGTGGTTTACCCTGTACACACAGGCTGTGTCATCATTATCCCATATCTTTTAGAAAAAGATGCTTTTCTCCTTCCTGTCTCCACCTTTTATCCTGTATGTGGACTGAACCTCAGTCAGGATTAGTGTGCACAGAACAGCTTTGAGTAGCAGCAGATGCTGACAGTTCACTGTAAACTGGAGTAAGCTGCACAGAGATGGTCTGTGGTGTGAAGTATGGCTGTTGTCTGGTCATTAAAAATAGATCCTTTGTCTTTATACAATGATTAACTGGCATCTCAAAAAGCTAATTTGTCTTTGTTTCTCCATTGATAGAAAGTGAGGCTCAGCACTGGGGTGTTACTTTTTACACAGCTTTGAAGTCAGGACATCACAAGTTTGCAAAAAAATGTCTAAGGCTAAGCGTTAGCTTCGTCTGATTGTTGACTACTGTTTGGTCAGTGAATCATGAGTGTTGAACCTTCAGTGGTGGAACTTGGAGCGTTTCAGGCAAAAGAAACTTCTCATTCATGTGCAAAGCTCTGGGTTGTCACACCCCACCTGAAGGTGGCTCCATGGGGCTCACAACTATTCACAGATAACCCATTAAGAGCCACAGAAACACCTTCAAGTGTTTAACATGGGATTTATGATTAAATTAAAAAAAGACTTAAATCATTATCAAAGAGAAACTACAGAACATATCAAGAAGTCAACTGACTTCTGGGACTTTAATCCCTCCAGCCCAGCTGATGGTCAATCAATGGGTTCACCTGGGCAGAGCTGGGGAAGACAAAAGGGGAAAAAGAGGTACAAATAACACACAGGCATAACAGGGTGTATGTAAATACTCCACCAAGCTTTGCCAAGTTTGAGGCCATGTACACAAGTAGCCGGGTATTTTTATAAACATATATCCAACCCCCTCCATTTAAAAAAAAGTCACATACACACATTCTCAAGGAAAGCCCATCCACACAAAACCGCATAAATGTGCTATTGACCGTGGTTGTACGCATAACAGACCTGGAGTTGGTAGTATTTGCCAAAAATTTTGACCCATTCCATCCAATCAGAGCAAGCTTTCCTTTCTCATCATTACTTCTCCAAACATGAAACATAGCACTGTGTTGTTCATTTGTGTAGACCAACAGAGAGGTGGAATAGCTTATAAGCATTGTTTTGGAGTAGAAAGTCATCAAGACACAAGAAAGTTGGAGGAAGGCTTATTTGGTGTAGAGTAACCGACTGCAAAGCACTCCTTTTCCTTTGCTTCTCACAAAAATATATATTCTATATATATCTGTGCTGTCCGCTGCCTGACATAAACAAAGGTGCATAGAATATGACGTTTATTTATTAGTTGTTGCAGATACTGACGTTTGGGAATTTAAAACTCTGGTTATCTATGTCCACACACAAATGCAAAACCAGTGTTTTACAAATTTTTCACTTTGGCCGGAGTTTTCCGAAAACATTGTTTTTGATGACGTATTCAGCAGCTAGGGTTGGATGCAGGGATTTCTGCAGAGATTTCAGGTCCTCAGAGCTAAAAAAAAAAAATGAATAAAAACATTTAAGCCTTTAATTCCTGTCGTTAGTTAACATTCAGGATGATCTCTCTGCACAGCTCACCTTCAGACAACAAACATGCTCAATTTAAAAGCAGAGCTTTAGTGCTAACAGCAGAGATGATTGGCATGGTGTATAATACCCTGCTTTTTTACACAGAGCAGAACAACAACAGCAGCAGCTAAACTTCCTGCAGGATTTCCTGCCTTTGTTTTCTATGCCTTCTTCAATTAAAGCGCCAAGCATCACCAGGGACAAGGTGACAAACATGTTGTTCTCTCTGAGCTCACCCATGTGTTTGTTTGCCTTCACAAAGCACCTGCTTTAGCTAATTCCTCACAGCCTCTGCTGGATTACACACTGAGGGAGGTGTAAGTATGGCCCCGCCCCCTACCTCTTCTGAAAATGACCTGTGGGCCAGTAGGAGGGCAGAGAGAAAGCCTCACCCTCCACCTTTCTTCGTCTCTTCACCCTCTCCCATGCCTCCATCCATAGAGGATCAGGCCCCTATAATCCCTGGATTTGATATCCTCCAAAACAGCTTGGGCCCATCAGCAAATTGCGATGGCATATGGTGCAGGTTTATGATTCATCTGGCACACGCAGAAGGACCGGAGCTGCCTCATTCCAGAGCAAACACCAGGAAAATATTATGATGTTAAACCATGCCAGAGGAGAGGAGAGGGGGTGGCCGGCTGGGGGGTCGTGTTTATTCGGACCAGAGCACAGCTGATCAGGATGTACACAGGGATCCAGGTCTGTGGTCCCTGCTGACGGCCAGTGATTAGGAACCATAGGGAGGAGGGTGATTGGAGGAAAATCTGCTCAAAGGACCAGAAGAGAGGAACGACAGAAGCTCCAACAGAAACTCAGCAACTCAAATTAATCTCAATGAATCTAAATTAATCCAAATTAATTTGAATTAATCTAAATTCATTTGAATTATAAAGGAATTCTTACAGCTTTATAGCATTTAACAACTTTTATATAAGAGATTTAGGAAAATAAAAGTCTCTTTCAAGACCTCTTCACCAATGAGAGGAGCTCATGCTCCTATTTTTAATAAGCACTGACAGAAAAGATAATGGGCTAAACCACCTTTAAGTCACCCAGGGTGTTATACAGTGCAAACATTAAGCCTAGACCTCGACCAGCTCATCAGAGCATATATGTAACCAAAAACAAAAACAAAAACTTGAAACTCTTCACTGTTAGCATCTCTGCAGCATGTTAACATCAGTCCCTACTCACCTGCACAGACAGCTACAGGTAAAACAACACCTGAAGGAAAGGAAATGAGCAAACAAGGCAAAAAAAACATTAAAGAACAAAGCTGAAAGGGCCATGAATCCCAAACACTGCCCAGAGGTTCAGTTTAGGAACTGGATCAGCTAAGGCGAAACCTTGCAGTCTAAGTGGGCCAGGCACCTTTTGAATCCTTAATCTGATGTAAACAGGTGAATACTTTATTCAGTCTGTACAGATGTCATGAACCGAGAAATAAGCCACAGAGACCCAAACTATTTCTGCTCAGGTATTATTTCTTACCCAGGGCTCTATGGGGACCAACTTACTGCAGGACTTACCCTCTAGTGGACAGGAGAAGAACCGCAGTTTTTGGGACCTCCACATAGTACTTAAAATCAGTATCAGATATTTCTGCTGCATATTTGATAAATGAAAGAGAGTTCTGATCATTGCACAGGTCACTTCCTGCTTTGGCCTTCTGACCTGTGGCACCTCCTCCAGAGCCACAACCACTAGCTTGCTTTCCCAGCCTCCTCTCCCAGCTCTTTTACAGCTCTCAACAGCCTTGACACAGTCCAGCAGTGTGGAGCAACTGCACTGCTGCCTTGTCAACAAAGCCCCTGCTTGCAACCTTGACCTAACATATCCTCTATTTCCAACCAGCCTTTTGGCACTCTGATCCCAGTTCGGAGTACTTTCCTCTTATGGGCTGCTGTCATGCCCTCTTCCCAGGGGACAGGGAGCTCAATCATAAGGACTGACCTCGCCATGGACAATCACATGACAATGTCTGATCAGAGAGTAGTTGTTATGATCTCTTTTGGAAAGACCAACTGCCTTCTGAGGTTGACCGGCATCTGCTACTCCTTGTCTGGTTTCAAGAAGGTAGCTTCTTGCAGGGGTGTTCCGCTCCTCTTGCCTGGCTTGATGAAAGCAGGTAGCACAGGCCTTGATGTTTCCTGTTTGTGGTTTGCTGCCACCTTGCATCTTTCCAGTAGTTTTGCCAACTTGGCTAGCACCTGGTCATGGCGCCACCTTGCACTGGGCGATTATATGATTGCGATTACCAATCATGATAGATTTCAGTTCAATCATGGTGATCAGCTGTGAGCTTATTTACTCAATCAAACTTGGGGAAAATGTGCGTCACAACAGCCAATCAGAGTCAGGCTTTTCCTGCTCACTTCTGTAAGTTGCCGGAAGTAAACAAGAAGTAGACAGGAGTAAACAGAATGACTGAACATGGTGCTAAATACAGAGCTGAGGGCAGTAAAATAGATGTCAGCCATGACTTTGAGTCATCCTCCAAAGATACCATTGTTGAGAAGAAAAGTTATTCATTTCATTCAAAAGTTATTCATTCATTCATTTTTTTTGCCAAATTGCCCCGGCCTAGCTCCACCTTAAGTGCCCCTGGTCCAATGCAACTTTGCATCCTGACAGGATGTGCTGGAGATTAGCCTTGGTGGTATTACACAGTCAACCTCCCACTGGGTAAGATTCCAGGGGGCATGGGAGTGTGTCATAGGCTGCTCTGATTAGGAAGCTTAGTCTGCTCTGCAGCGTCCTACAGATGTCCAGCTCTGCACAGTGGCCTCCCATGGCATCCAGGCTCCTTGTCTGCCTTGAGATATAGCCTTTATATGGAATTGCTGCTGCTCCACCCTGGTGACTTTGTCCACCACCATGGTCTTCTGCTCCCTCCTGGTGGCTTTGGACCAGAACTGTTGTGGAGCGACCCAGACTAGACCCAAGGTTTCTGCCTGTTAAAAGGAAGTTTTTTCTTGCCACTGTTACTCATGTTAGATGAGATGGGCCAAATCCCATTTTAGCTCTTCCTCTTTGAAAAGCATCTTGGGATGAAGACTGTTTTTTTTCCTGCTTGTACCTGAGATTAATGGATTTAAAATGGAGTCCATATTTTTGCTGTATTGTCTGATACTTTCTCAAATATCTTAAATAATGATGTTAAACTATTTAATGTGATTTGATTTATACTGGATCCATCACTAGTAGATATGCAGTAACTATTCTTCTTGGGGTCCTTATCTTCATTTTCATTTTGAATTTAGACATATACTTACAGATATTACACTTACAAAACACTCATTCTACATTTCAGAGACTCTTATTCTCTCTTGCTTGTTGAAAAATAACCCCATACATAAATAAGATGAAGAAAGAAAAGTGAAAAGACAAAAAAGAAAATCAGAACTTATCTAAGGGATAACAAGAAAACGTAATCAATTAGAGAGAAGAGCTGAACTTAATTTCATACTATAACTTTAATTATGTCTTTGTTCTTTGTAGGTCCATATCCCACCTGTCTACAGGTTTGTTTATGCTACACCAGCAATTTCAAGAATGATATTAGTAGTAGGAGTAAATAACACTATACGTGACCGAACAATATTTCTTTGCTTACCATAAACACTGGTGTGATCATCACTACAGTAGCTATGTCTCTCCATGCCCAGCTCTGTACTTTGATGTTCTGTGCCTAATGAAAACATTATTAAACGTTTCCATAAGCATCTCATTCTTCTCTATGGATATTTTTCAACAAACCTTGAGATCTTTTTACTTGGCATTTTCATGTCTTTCATTTAACTGTTCTCTGCAATTTTTTAAAGAAGAGGCTTAAGACTCACTTTTTTAACCAGGCTTTTTACTAATTGCCATTTTAGATTTCTCTTATTGCAAATGTTTATTTTAATCAAAGTTCTTAATGTTTATTTAATGTCATTCTATTTGTTATCTCTGTTCTTAGTCTTTTTCTTAATTTCCCGTCACAGGTTTTTACTTCTTTTACCCCTTTTACTAATTTGTTCATTTAATATTTTTATTTTAGTCCATCAGGATTTACCCTTTTCAACATATTTTATTTTTATCTCCAGTGTTTCCTAAAGGTAGCTCTTTCCTCACGTAATGTCTCGGTGTCAGGCCATGTCTCTTAAACAATATATCTTAAATTCTCACACTGTGTGCGGTTGTGTGTGTGTGTGTGTGTACGTGTGGTTGAGTGAGGGTGGGTGTGTGTCTTTGTGTGCATGTGGGTCCATCGGTGTGTGTGTGGGGGGAAGGGTTGGGTTTTTGTCATTATCGTTGTTTTTAGCCTCTGTGAGGCACTTTGAATTGCATTTTCTTTTGTATGAAAAGTGCCATTAAATAAAGTTGAATTGAATTGAATTTCAACTGACCTGGCTACACGCACACACACACACACGCACACACACACACACACACACACACACACACACACACACACACACACACAAATTTATGAGAGAACAACACTGCAGATAATAGGCGTAATGAGCCTAGATTTAATTGTCCTTCTGTAAATGAAAAAAATTTGTCATGACATGTAGGCTAAGACTCCACAACACTATAAACTAAATATCCAGTATAAAAGCATCTGACTTGGAAATTAATGTAATGTAAAAAGCGGTGATTTAAATGGAGGACAATAAGGAGTGGAAATAAACAGTCAGAATGTAATAAGAAAAGGGATCTGTTCAAGTGAACGTCTAAGTCAAATTTATAACTACTTTCTATGGGGGGGGGTTGCACCTATGCATTGTATAGTACACTGACAGTTTAATTATTTGCTGGGTGTTTTAGAGACACCTCTCTGCCTCTTTAGAGTTTTTAATCCCCTCTGAGTCTGAACTAAGACCTAAAAATAACCTCGGCCTGCTTTGGTCAGTGTTATCCAACATGAACCCTTTAAAACATGTCACTGGAGTACACAGAAACAGTCTCTGAGACATATTGTTTGCATATATTTCCTGTGTAAAGCAGATTTCAGCTTGTGTAACTCAGTATTTGTTAACATCAGAGTGTGGCAGAAATAATTCTCCACATTAGCACATTTCCAAACATCTGCTGCAAGAGTCAGAGCTGATCTGCTCCTTTCTCTCTGCCCTCCTCTTTAAATGTGACAGGATGACACACAAACACTTCCAGCTAACTTCCCCTCCGTCTTCATTAATGCATGAAGCACAGCGCTGCCGGCAAGGTGACTCCACCCCCTCCACTCTGCTGCAGCCCCGCCTCCTAAAAAGGCCAGCACAGGCTGATGCTGCTGGTTCGGAGGGCTGTCAGTTGGTGGGTCACAGTGGGTTCAGATGGGGCGTGGAAGACTTTCTTTTTTCCTTTTTTGTATTTCTGCCTTTTTCCATGAAGGAAGTTTTCAAATATTTATATATTTCAAATATTTTTATTTTTTGAGATTTGTTTATTTCACCATCATTTAGACTAAAGTGAGGGAAACGTACTTGAAGAAGACTACACAGAATCATATCATACTTCCTATTCATTGTGTCCTATTTTATCATTGAATATAGTACAATACTGTATTATATTAAATAATGAGCCAGAGCAGAGATAGGAGGATGGGGGTGACGTTAGACCAGCCTATAGAGGTCTCAGATGCTACAACATTTATTTATTTTTTTATTTTTTATCATAACATAACATTTTAACCTGTTGTATGTCATTATATTATCTATCAGGTTGTTCTGTAACATACCAGATTGATCTAATACCATAAATCAATGTGCATACTTATATCAATGTATTGTTGCTGGATAGAGCTGTCCTTTTTGTTTAATCGTTTCATTAAGTAGATCCAGACGCTGATATGGTCTGTGTGGACCTGCTGCTGCTGCTGCTGACTGTCAGTATGGTGGAGGTTTATCATTACCAGCATCCAGACAGCCCTACCACCCCCTGGCTACTCAGGTGATCACACCCGGCTGCCTGACTCAACATTTCCCCTGAAGAGCTGCGGCTCACATATTGTGCCATCATTATTTCGTACCTTGCAGGAGCAGCTCTGAGCAGGTGGAGGTGCAAACACAGAGTGATGGGAAGAGATTTTTATAGGTCTGTAGCTAAAGGTGGAAGAAGAGGTTTAAAAAAAGAGACATCTGCTACCTTTAATGTGGCCGTGTTCATCTGAGACTGCACTGAAGAAACAAGTTTAATGTTTGTGTATATTTAGGAAACCAGTTAAAAAACAGAAGCATTGTTTCATAACATCAGAGGCAATCTTTCACCAGACTGCATTAAGAAAAACAGAAATTTGGTTCTTAAAACAGATACATTTTTCTGGGTGTAAATAGAAATACATTGTTTTTTTTTTTTTTTAATAAAACTGTAGGAAGCCATCTGCAGCACCGGTCATGAACACAGAACCACCATTTGGAGCAGTCAAGACCTGGGCTCTGTTTCGAGAAGTCTGAGTCTGACCCTGAACTCTGAGCCATACCCTGACCTAAGCCTATTCCAGAACTCTGGGTCTGAGTGTCTCTACACATCAAGCGGGAGTGAAATCATTAGAATAGAATAGAATTAGTGCTGTCAAGCAATAAAAAAATTTGAGAGATTAATTAATTATGATCTGTAATTAATTAATCTAATTAATCTCTTTTTTAATCTCACCTAAAAAATTGCTAAGAAAAGCCCTCAACTTGAAGTATTTTCAATTAAATTCATTACATTAATGTGGCAGATCAAAAAATTGATATATAACAAAAAAGTGGCTTTATAAAGTCATTTATTTTTTTACAGACTTGAACAGATGAAATCGTAGCCATTTACATTCCGCTGTATTCGAGCTCTGCTCTGTAGCGCTGAAGCTTTCCATACTCAATTCCATCTTCTTCTGAGTCAGAGTCAGACCCTAACATGAGAGCGCTCCTCCTCTTCTTCTCAGCTGGTTCATCATCCACTGTTGAGGGCTGGAGAGTAGCTGCTCTTCTGGGCTTTTCTGCTTGGAGCATGTTCTCCAGACTGGTCCACACCTGAATAAATAAATGAATGAATGGATAGATGGATGAATGACTGATTGTTATTAAGTGCAGTAGGCCATTTAATTTTATTTCATTCTGAGAAGCACTTTGTGTTGCTGTATGTGTGAAAACTGCTTGATAAACAAAGTTTGATTTGATAAATTGAACTCATTAGTCTAACTTATCCTTATATAGTGTTTAACTGTTCCCTATTCTCTCTTGGAAGACATTTCAAATCCTTAAAACATGGATCCAGTGCTGTGGCCACCTTGAACCATGTCTCATTGGCAACAGGTCGCCATGCTGCCAGGTCCCTCTGGAAGGCATTCTTAAACTTCACCACGTAGGTTGGATCATCATCAGTGATATCCATGAGGTGGTCCAGATGGCAAAAAGCTGGCAGCACAACAGAGCAAGAGACGTAGGCCTCACCACCCAGCAGCTCAGTCACATACCTGCAGAGGTGGATACGTTTGCAAAATCAACTTAGCTGATTTTCAATTTATTTTTCCCTTAAGTGACTACCTGATGTTAATTCATATTTGGATTACACATGTGACAGGAGTTTATTTCATTAAAATGGACAGGTGTTTATTTGGGCGTACCTGCATGGTTCAAGCAGAACCTCCAGCCTCTGCAGTTTCCCCCACTCAGCTTCGGTTGGCATGACAAGTCTATTGTTATTCTGTTGGTCCAACGTAGCCTGGACAGCCTCTCGGTTGCGTAAGAGACGTGATACCATCGCAAGTGTCGAATTCCACCTTGTCGGTACATCTTGTATGAGCTGCTCCCTCTTTTTCCCAAGTGCTACTTGTTGCTGGTTAAGTTCTGTAATACTCGCCAGGCTTTGTTTAAAATGGCCAACAATCTTGCGGCACATTGCCAGTACACCCGCAAACCCACTGCTGTCGATGCAGACTGTGATGGTCCTCTGCAGAATGTGAGCATTGCAGGCAATGTGCTCATATGGAAGGGCCCTCATAGCAGCCAGCATGTTTGCTGCGCTATCAGTACCAATGGTGAACATTTTGTTTTCAATTCCCCAGTCATTTGCCACCTTGAGGAACTGTTCAGCGCATTTATCAGCAAAGTGCCTGGTTTCCGATTTCATGACGGTCAGTGCAAAAGAGTTGAGGTTTCACTCATCATCAATAAAATGACCGGTCACCCCAAAATAGCTGTGGTTGCCAACTGAGGTCCAGTGATCTCCAGTTATAGCAATGCAGTTGGGCGAATTCTCCACCAAAATGTCAAGTTTCTCCTTCTTTTCAGCACTGTACATCTTGCTGATTTTGGCTGTCAATGTAGCTCTGCACGGTGGTTTGTATGATGGGTCCTTGGACGCAGTTTGCAGCACGTCTGTTAACCCCTCATCTTCCACTATGTTTATCGGCCGGCAGTTTGTCGCTACCCACTTGGCAAGAACATTCATCAGCTTGTCGGTCGCAGACTTGGTCATGCGTGTGGTATTCTCCTTAAGTTTAGTTTGACAAAGAGCATTGCTGTGGCTCGAACGTCTTCGCAGCTAACGTTAGCTGTGGCTGCGCTCCAACTAAAGACTGGGTGCTTTGCATTCATGTGAAAGGCTAAACTTGAGCTGCTTCCGTGGTAAGCAAACTCCTTCTTGCATATCACAAATATCACTCTACATTTATCGACTGTGCCGTCGGGGTGCTTTTGAAATATAAATTTACTGTTCATTGGGCCGACAACTCACTCTTTCTCCGCCGTTTCTACTTCTCTCTGCTCGTCTGCTGCTCACTGCTCCTCCCCTTACCTGACCAACTACAATGGGAGCCTATCAGAGTATGCTAAACAAGCCCAAACACAATGACAGCCAATCAATGTCCATTTCAAGGTGTGACTGACAATTGTTTCCCCCACAAACAACTCAAGCACAAGAATTCCACCGCACAGGAGCAACACGCAGACAGAAACAGTAAAGGAGATTAAAAAATTGATTAAGCGATTAGAAAACTTAACGCTTTAAATCTGCCTGTAATTAATTAATCGCAATTAACGCGCTAATTTGACACCCCTAAATAGAATAGAATAGAATATTTCTTTCTTGATCCCCCATGGGGGAAATCTTTTTGCCACAGCAGCAACACAGACAAATGATAAATGATCACCCAAAGATAAATGTTACAGTTAAGAAAAAAATTAGAAAAGGAAAAAGGGAGAAGAAAATAAAACTATATACAATGTACACAATTTAAGTACCAGAAAAAAAACACTGGATGAATGAATAAATAAGGAGATTAACAACAGATGATGAGGTATCAGGATGGTCATGGTTAAATAACTGTACATGAATGTTGAATATTAAATAGATAGATTAAGGTGAGAGTCCAGTTTTATTACAGTTAGTTGTAAAGTCTTATTGCAGAAGGGAGGAATGACCTGCGGTAGCACTCCGTCTTGCAAGGTGGTAGTCTCAGTCTGCTGCTGAAGGAGCTGCTTAAAGCCCACACAGTCTGGTGCAGTAACATCCTCCTCTCACCCACCTCCTCCAGGGAGTCCAAAGAGCAGTCCAGGACAGAACTGGCCCTCCTGACTAGTCTGTTCAGTCTCTTCCTGTCCCTCTCAGTGCTCCCTGCCCCCCAGCAGATCACTGCATAGAAAAGTGCAGATGCTTCCACAGAGTCATATAAAGTCCTGAGCAGAGTCCTGCACACTCCAAAGGACCTCAGTCTCCTCAGCAGGTGGAGACGTCTGTGTTGGTTGACCAATCCAGTTTATTGTTAAGGTGGACACCCAGGAATCTGTAGGACTCCACCATCTTGATGTCCAGACCCTGGATGTTCACTGGAACAGTCTGAGGTGTCCTCCTCCTGCAGAAATCCATGACCATCTCCTTTGTCTTACTGGCGTTTAGCTGGGGGTGGTTTGTGCCACACCAGTTGACGAAGTCAGTGATGACAGTCCTGTATTCCTGACCCTCCTCTTTTCCTTCAGGAGGACTTTAAGTTCAGGGGTCACCCAGGGTTTGCTTTAAGAGAAACACCATACTTTCCTGGTGGATACAGTGTTCTCAACACAGTAGTTTATATAGTCTGTGATGCAATCTGTCATGGTGCTGATGTCATCACCATGTGAGCCACACAGTACATCCCAGTCTGTGGTCTCAAAACAGTCCTGCAGCGCCTCAGTGGTCTCCTCAGACCACCTCTTAACATACCTGACGGTGGGGGGTTGTTTCTTCACCATAGGTATGTAAATGGGCTGCAGTTTCACCAGGTGGGGGGGGCGATGCATGATTAAAGTCTCCAGAGATGATGAGTGTGATGTTTTTAGCTTGGACACTTCACTATGGAGGAGTTCACAGGCTGCAGCAGCATCAGCCAAGGGGGGAATGTAAACAGTTGACGCGATGACGTGTGAAAACTCCCTCGGTAGGTAATGTGGCCGCAAACTCACAGCCAGCAGCTCAATGTCCTTAGAACAGCGCTGCTCTTTAACACTGATGTGCCCAGCATTACACCATCTCTCATTCACACACAGTAGCAGTTCTAGGCACGGGCGAACAGGGCAGCCGCCCGGGGCAGCATTTATGTCATGACTCATGGGGGGGCGGCATGAGCACTTCCAAAAAAGAAAGAAAAAAGATAATAATAAATCTGCACCACAAAGCGGTTTTGTATTAACTCTTGTTGTCAAATTACCACCCCCCTGCTGCTGTAGGCGCCCCTGCTTGTGTAGGGGAATGTCTTCATACATTTAGGTTAAGAAATATAGAGTAATTATCTTTTAGTAAGAAGCTACAAATAGTCTAGGTTGGCCTGCTCCTGCTGCCCCACGACCATGAGATTGTAAGCAAGGCTGTCTTGCAGGAGCCCAAACTATCTGTCTGTTGGAACATGTAATCTCTGCCAGGGTCAAGACGAACCTAAACAAAGTGTCGTGGGGCAGACATGTCATCATGAGGGGCCTTCTGGAGAATACACACACACACACACACACACAAACACACACACACACACACACACACACACACACACACACACACACACACACACACAGCATAAAAGAGAGTAGAAGTAAAGCTAGGGGGGCTTCCTTGGGTCTTGGTCGAGACTCTATTTGTCATCTGTACTGATTTCTACATCTGTACAATTAAAGACGCCCCAGGCTGTTCTTCAGATCTCATCATGTCTCCTGTACATTGTTTTACTGAGTTTATGTTGGACGTTCCACAACATAATTGGCGAGCTTTAGCCAGAATTCGTTTCGGGGGACAAGGGACCATGGTTCTGCGAACTTCACATGGGATAAGGACACTCTGTGCGCACAAAAAGAAAAAGGTAGGATATTTCCTAAAATTTGGTTGAGAGTTCTTCTCCCTGTGAGGTGGTGCGGACTACTGCTCTCTGTCCTCTTCGAATCAAAGAACCTAGAATAGAAATAAGAGGAGACAGTGGGAATGAAGACAGTCTGAGAAAACTGCATGCATGCAGTCAGCTGATCAAAGTCTGCCAAATTTGTGAGGAAGCCAATTGAAATTGAATATATATCAGCTGATTTAAGACAAACTGCAGTTGACTGTGTGAAATTGCCTCACGCTGTTGCATGTGTGAGATGCCATATGTAGAGCTGTAGGCTGCTACATATGAGGGATGCCATATGAGAAGCTGTAGGCTGCTGCATGTGATGAATGCCATATGAGAAGCTGTAGGCTGCTGCATGTGATGAATGCCATATGAGGAGCTATAGGCTGCTGCATGTGATGAATGCCATATGAGGAGCTACAGGCTGCTGCATGTGATGAATGCCATATGAGGAGCTATAGGCTGCTGCATGTGATGAATGCCATATGAGGAGCTACAGGCTGCTGCATGTGATGAATGCCATATGAGGAGCTACAGGCTGCTGCATGTGATGAATGCCATATAAACTGAAGTTACTAACGTCGTACCTAAGGTCAACCATGTCTCAGGAACGGCGCAATGGCCTTGTCGTCATCAGCATCAATCACTTAACCCATTTAAACCGGGACAGTATGTCCGCATTTCTAGCCTTCAAGCCAGTCACCATGTTGCTGTGAGTAGTAGACGTGTGGCCGCTTCTCCCCCAGCCTACTGAGGAAAAATTGTAAAGCTACATGCTTAACTTCAAAGTCTGAATTTCATTCTAGTGCTTGATTGTCCTATGAGAAGAGAGCTGAAAGGAGTTATTTTAAACCTCCTGTGTTTGATCCTGAGCGTACCCAAAACGCGACCTGATTGTTTGCACCTGCTAGCTGGCTAACGAACAACAAACATTTGTGGTGTGGAGGTCGGAGCGACACGATGCCTCCGAAGCTGAAGAAAGATTTCACATCTGAGATGGCTTCTACAATAAGAGACATTATTCGTGAAGAGCTGAAGGCGGCCCTGGACACAAGTTTAGTGCCAGTGAACAAATGTTTGGAGGAGCTGAAAATCCAACTGAGCACATGCAGTGAAAAAATCGAGGAGTTGGTGAGAGATGGAGTGGAAACCGACGTCAGATTGTCCGAATTGGAACGCTGCCAACTGAAGACTGCAAAAGAAAATAAACAGCTGAGATCGAAAATTGAACAGCTTGAGAACCAAAGTCGCAAGTTCAACATCCGTAATTTTGGTCTGCCGTCTGGGATAGAGGCTGGAAATCGTACTGCCTTCACAACAAAGCTGCTCCAGGACCTGTTTGGAGAAGAGATTGTTGGAACCGGCCCGCTGCTCAGTATCGCCCATCGCACTGGTCAGGCAAGGAAAGATTCGAGTTGCATGATTGCAAGACTGTACAGATTTGACATCAAGAGGAAGATTATAAAGAAGGCCATTGAGTCTTGTTCTTTCACCTACAATGGGAGAAAAATACGCATCCAGTCTGATATCAGCGCTGAGACCCTGACACTCAGAGCAACTTTTAAAGAATTGAAATCAGAGCTATATAAGCGAAATATAAGATGCGGTTTTATCCATCCCACTGCAACTTTGATCCTGACTTTCCGTGAGGAAACCCACAAGTTCAACACAGCAAAGGAAGCACAGGACTTCTTTGATCGCTATATTGAACCTGAGGATGAGGAGGGTGAAGAAGAGAAGTATGGTGCAGAGGAGACAGATGGTGAAACAGAGGAAGGAAAGGAGAGCAGCGCAGTGGTGCAGGATGGAGGTGAAACTGGAGAGGATGAAGGAGTGAAGGATGGACGTGAATAAGAGACAGAGGTCTTGATCTTCCTTGAAAGAGCTGGAATGCTCCAAATCAGGTACTGTTCTAAGGACTAAATAGCGTGCTGAATTTTGAGTTATGAAATGGAGTATTACATCGGCTCTAGCATTGGACTTATGAATTAATAGCCTAATATAAGCTGGAGTTAATTTGTTTGTTTCTTCACATTAGTCAATTATTAACTAATGTGTGAATGAATGGTTGAGTGAAAGGACTGATGAATGAACGAAGGAATTAACAAAGGAATGAACAAACAAATGAATGTACGGGTAGAAGTATGAATGAAGGGATTAATATTGAACAGAATTATCAATTTGGAAGATTATGATTGTTAATGATTAAATGATTTCGTTAATGATTAAATTGAGATTTCTAATTTACTTTATGTTTCATTTGCATATAGGAGATTTATTATATTTTGGTGACAATTCAAGCAATGTTAGTGTTAATGGTAGTACTTTGTGGTTTTTTTTTTGGGGGGGGGGCAGCAGATTACATTATGTATGTTACATTATGTGTGTGTGTGTGTGTGTGTGTGTGTGTGTGTGTGTGTGTGTGTGTGTGTGTGGTTGAGTGTGAATGTGTGTGTTATGTGTTTAAAGGTTCACAAACTGGAGGGAAGACGTTTCTTATTAAGAAGTATTAAGCTTGAGTATTATGATTACAGTTAATGTACCAAGAAAATGGTTTAAATTAGCTCACATAAATATCTGCAGCCTGAGAAATAAAATAATGGAAGTATCAGAATTATTAGCGCTGGGTATTCATTTATTAGCTGTATCAGAAACTCACCTTAATAATACTTCTAATGATGAGGCACTGGGTATACAGGGGTATAATCTTTTTAGAAGAGACAGATGGAGGGGGGGTAGCAATTTATGTCAAGAATCATATTCCAGTAAAAGTAAGATTGGATCTGATGGCTGTGGATATTGAAGTGATTTGGTTACAAATGAATTTACCTCATGTTAAACCCATACTTATAGGGTGTGTATATAGACCACCAAGCGCTAATATGGATTATCTGAATGAATTGTGTTTAATGTTGGACAGAGTATGTGATCCGGGCCAAGAAATTTATTTTTTAGGAGACACCAATATTGACTGGAATTCGTCTAGCTGTCCACTTAGAGTGAAGTTACAATCAACTGCTAGAACATGCAACTTGACTCAAATGGTGAATAGACCAACAAGAGTTTGTATAAGAAGAGATGGTGGTAAAAGTGAAACATGCATTGATCACATTTTCACAAACCGTAGCAATTTATGTTCTAATATGTTATCCATACCAGTAGGATGTACTGATCATAATTTAGTAGTGACTTTTAGGAAAGCTAAAGTGCCCAAATCAGGACCAAAAACAGTTTACAGTACATCAATGAAAACATTTAACGAAGATTTATATATAGATGATGTAAAAAACATGTTGGAAGCAAGTATTGAACATAGACAATCCGGATGATGCACTTGATGCACCGTACAAGAAACTACGAAATTATGTGACAGCTTTAAATAAAAAGAAAAAACAAATGTTTTACAAGAACAAAATAAAGAATGTGAAAAATGATAAAAAGAAAATGTAGAACATAGTAAATGACATGAGTGGCAGGAAGCCTAATTCAAGTCCCTCTTATCTTGGTGTGGATGGTGCTCAACTCAATGAAAGATAAAAACTGTAAATTCAGACTGACAAGAGTGACTGTTGATGAAGTTGAGGCTCTGCTTAATAAATGCAAAGAGAGACCTCCAGGGTTTTTTTAATTTGGATGTTAAATTCCTGAAATTGGTTGCAAACTTAATTGCTATTCCTGTTTGTCATATTGTCAATTTGAGTATTGAGAAATCCAGTTGCCCTCAGGCTTGGAAGATAGCTAAAATAATTCCACTTCCCAAAAACACTGCTGCGCCATTCTCAGGTACAAATAGTCGTCCTATTAGCTTGTTGGCAGCTTTGGGTAAAATAATGGAGAGGATTATCTTTCAACAAATTCAACTATACTTTGATGTAAATGGTTTAAATACAGAATATCAACATGCCTATAGGCCTGGTCATTGGACTTGCACGGCCTTGACTCAGATGACTGATGAATGGCAATGTGAGATTGATAAGGGAAAGTTGGTAGTGGCTGTTTTGCTTGATTTTAGTGCAGCGTTTGATTTGATAGACCATTCTTTGTTATTAGATAAGCTTAAACAATATGGATTCACTGATACTGCAGTAAATTGGATGAGGAGTTATTTAAGTAACAGAAAACAAACAGTTTTTTTTAATGGTAGTCTGTCAAATCTCAGTTCTGTTAATTGTGGAGTTCCTCAGGGTAGCTGCCTTGGGCCCTTATTATTTTCAATTTTTATCAATGATCTTTCTTTAGTTTTAAAGAAAGCCCAAATCTCAATGTATGCCGATGACTCGACCATATATGTAGCAGGATCAACAATAGAGGAAATTAATAATATTCTGGAGAAAGAATTAAAATATGTAATAGAATGGGTAAGGATGAATAAACTTGTACTCAATATCGGCAAAACAAAGTCTATATTAATTGGAACAAAACATCAGCAGATATCTGAACCAAAATTGAACTTAAAGATTGACAATACTTTAATTGAGCAAGTTAAAGAGACAAAACTCTTGGGTATCACCTTAAACCATACTTTATCTTGGACCCATCATGTTGATAATATTGTGAGTAAAATGGAAAGGGCCGTTTCAGTTACAAGGAGAATTTCTAAAGGTCTGACACCAGATGTCATTAGACAGGTCTTAAATGCTTTAGTTCTGTCACAGCTTGATTATTGTTTTGTAATTTGGTCTAGTGCCTCAAAGAATATGAAAAAATTACATTTTTTCAAAATTGCGCTAAACTGTTCTTTTAGAACTAATGTTGAAGAAATGCATGGCAGGCTGAGATGGTTAACTGTTAGTCAAAGATCCACTTATTGTCTTGTAAATTTTATTAGAAACATTAGAGTAACACAGTTACCAAATATATTGTATAAAAGGTTATTGGAACACTGTGCTCGTCAAAAATATGGAACGAGAAATCCTGTAGAAGGAAGGTTTAATCTGCCCAGAGTTAGGTCATCAGTTATATAGAAAACTGTTATGTATAGAGCTGTGGTAGGATGGAATTCGTTACCAAGGTATGTCATTCAAGTTAATACAAAAGAAGGTTTCAAAATGATGGTAAAGCAGTATCTACCAATTTTTCATGAACTGTAATGTGTTTAATAAGGTATTATTGTGGAAAGTATTAAGGCTGCAAATACGAATCGATTAAGTCGATTCGTCGTGACGAAAAAATTTGTTGCCAACTAATTCTGTAATCGATTCGTCGGGTCTTTATATATGTCCATGGACACCGGCGTGTAAACATCAGCAGGACGCACAGAAAAGAAACAGCCATGGCCGAGGCAGCGGCTGAGAAAAACATGGACACAACCCAACCCAAATCCCGACCTAAAACATCAGTGGTGTGGGAAAACTTTACCAAGACTGGAAAGGAAGGCGTTCAGTGCAACATTTGCAAAGCCCGTTTTGCATGACACGGGAATACATCGATGATGCGTGAGCACAGGGCTCTCAAGTCTCACGCATTCAGCGTATGACACACGCATTCCCACTCGTTCACACGCTCACACACCACACATTGTATTTCTCACGCATTTAAATGAACACGGTGATGTCCACCAAGTTGCACCTCTTTAACTATGGAACAGGTGGAAATCAACTGAGTTTCTCCGAGAGTTCAGAAGCTGCGTGCCACGCGCAAGCCAATCAAGTAAAGTATATCTACTGAAAGGCCAATCAAAAAGCAGCATTGCTGTATCTGGGTAGATTTTGATATCTTGCGGTTTGACTACAGAAGAAGACAGACACTCGCCGAAATAGAGCAGGTTTTTATAAGGACGAGAAAGACCCGATGATTACAGTAAGTCAGTAACCTATACATGCAGAGACCTCAACACCTCATGGCAGATAAACTCATATGATAAACTAAAGCCCTATGCTATTGCTATTAACAGCTGCATTGATGAATTTAGCCTGTTTATCCGATTAATTAGTTTAATTAGTTATTAAAATAGTCGACAGATTAATCGATTATCAAAATAATCGTTAGTTGCAGCCCTAGAAAGTATAATTTAAACCCTTTTCTAACCAATGAAATGGATTGCATGAGTATTTAATTGTAATTTAATTTTGTTGAATGTTCTAACTTCTGTAAGTGAACCTTTTGTTTCTGTATGTTGTATGATTGTTGTATATGTTTGTGTTATGTTTTGTGTATGGACCCCAGGAAGAATAGCCTGCCCTTGGCAAGTGCTAATGGGGATCCTTAATAAAGTAAAGTAAAGCCGGGAGCACGGATACGTCTTTTTGTAACATTCTGTAGTCTTTTAATCATTTCTGGAGTCATGGTGAATCAAATCATTATACCTGTGTGCCTCTGAGAGGGGAATAAAGCACTCCGATTCATGCTCGGATCTTGCTACGTGCTTCACAAGTAAAATAAACAATGATGGAGGCAGAGAGCAGCTTTGGAGGAGAAACATCCAGCAGTGTGAACAACCTCTTCATATGGAGTGCTCACACTATTGGTGTTTTCTGTGAGTGTTGCATGATTTTGGGTGAGCACAGACATGAACACACTGTCAGCCACGTATTTGTTTATTCATTTTTAGTTTTTAGAGCTGCTTTTGTACTGGCACTATACTTGGGCAGCTGCATAGCCTTTCAACACTTTATCTTTTATATTTACATTTGTGTTGAATGGACACTTTATCATGACTGCCACTTGTTTTACAGAAAATAAATTATTTGTCATTCTCCAGTGCAGAGTCTTTACCTTTATTTAGACAGCGGCTTTATTTCATTTAAGTTTGTTTTTTCAAGGTTTTCAAAAATGTGATGAAGGTTCGCAAAACTAAACAATAGCTTTCCTTAAAGCCACATGTATAAGCTCTCAAATACTTTTTGAATTGTGTTTCTATCTACTACAGAGGCCGAGATATCAGATTTTTTTGTAAAACTCAACACTTCAGAAAACCTCAGGATCTGGGGGCCCTTCTTAAAATGGCCCTCAGGATTGTGTTTTTTCTATTGAAGGATTTGTGTAATTGAGAAATATTTTATTTTCGTTGTTATAATCATAATAATACTACATAATAATACAAAACTATCTGTTCAAAATTCTCTCTCTTTTTGTGTTTGTGTGTGTGTGTATGTGTATGTGTGTGTGGTGGTGGTGGTAGTGGTGGGGGTGCTTGGAGGGGGTCTCACCAGGGGAGTAATTTAGTCTAGAACCGCCACTGTTCACATACACCAAAGCCTAACCCTGTATGACCCTGAACTCTGAGTCTAAACCAAACTCAAAGCTCATGCCTGACCCTGAACTCTGAGCCTGACCCACACTCTGAGCTTGAGCCCGACCCTGAACCTTTAGCCTGAGCCTCTGAGTCTGACACTGAATTCTGAGTCTAAACTCTGAGCCTAACTCTGACCTTGAACTCTGGGTCCAAATCCTTAACACTGAGTCTGACCCTGAATTCTGAGCCTGACCCTGAACTCTGAGTCTGACTGTGAGCCTGATCCTGAACTCTGGGTCTAACTGTGAACTCTGCGTCTGACCCTGAACTCTGAGCTGATTTACCCTCAGATTAGTTTTAGGTTTGAGAACAGCTGATTGGCATTTGTTCACTCCACCTTTTGTAGGTTTACTCCAAGTTTAGCACATGATTACATTAGAAAAAAAAAGGAGACACAAAACTGTCCTCATTTATCAGTGCTGCAGAGTTAGAGAAAGTGATGGAGGAGACAAAACTAAACAAAACTTGAGCATCAGGAAAAATTAGTCCCTGATTACAACCTACAGCCTGAAGAAAAGAGACGAGCTGTGGACACATCTGTTAAAAAATAAGACAGAGTGTTCTGTCATGATTAAGTCAGAGTGTGGTTACAAGGCGGTAAAAAAAAAACTGGCAAATTTGGATGGACACCTGAAAATGAGGGATCTTGCAGTGTCTGCTCAGGTAAATAACAGGGCATGGAAACACTAGCTACGTTTACATGGAGCCAAATATTCCGAATATAATCGGATTAGAAGCCCAATCGGAATGAAAATGCTCCATATAAACACCTCATTCGGAATAAACAGGCCCATTCCGAATGGAATTTCATTCCGATTCACAGGGGTAGAATTTTCCTTTTCCCATTCCGATTAAAAGCAAAATCCTGTCATGTAAACAGTGAATCGGAAAGTTGTCAGGCTGGGTTCTGTCTGCGCATGCTCTGTCCTGATGTAAACAAGCAGTGACGTATGACTCACATGGAAACATGATGGTGGCTTCCAAGCAGAGCACGATGCACTGGTCTGCGTCGGAGATCACGTGATCAATAAATCACGTGATGTTTGAAGGTATCACGTGTCTGTAAATAGCTGTTCCGATTGAATGCCGTGGCACATGTAAACACCAGATCAGAATAGATCGCTTCCATGTAAACAGTTCACCTGGGAGCTTCAATCGGAATGATTATAATCCGAATGAGAAAAAAGTCTGCATGTAAACGTGGCTACTGTGACTCAGGTCTTAGACATGCGCTGCTGTCCAAGTCCTAAGTCATTCAGCAAATATTAGAGGGGGGTTTTATGCTTTTCCACATTTACCACAAAAACTGCTATAACAAAGTTCGATGTCCATACTACATATTTGCTAAATTTCAAATCACAAGATAAATGTATTTTATTATAATCTGAGAAAGTAGATGTAAAATGCTCAAATCTTGGACAAACACGCGAATATGCAAGACCGTAGTTTAAGAGCGAGATTTACTAAATTCTGATGCAAGAATTAAAGACTCTCCTTACTGGTTAATGTGCCTGGCAAAGCCGAATGGCCTGCCTCCAACAGCGTGTTAAGTGACACCTACAACGGACATAATACACAAATATATATGTACATATATGATGTCTATGGGGTAATGCTGCTCCGCTGCTCAGCTGATCGACCGCATTAGAGAGACTGGGGGCAAAACAGCATCTGTCCAGCAGCTGTGGTTGCCGAAACAGTAGCATAAAGTTATAGTAAGACAGTATATTCATTTACAGTAAAGAGATGTCCTTAATACCATATTCTAGAGTAAATAATAAAGTTTTAATATTTTAAAATTACATTGTTTTACATAGAATATACATAGAAAGTTCTTTTATTTTCAGTGTTTTTTACAGCACAAAAGCTTATTCATTTACAGTGAAGAAATGTCCTTACTACCATAGTCTACTGTAAAAAATGTTTAAACATTTTATAAATAGATTGTTTTACTTGAGAATGTACATAGAAAGTTTGCTATTTTTAACGGTATAATGCCAGCAGCCAGGCTGCTAAAATGGTACCAAACATTGCTTCATTTACATTTAAAATGTACTGATACAGTTTACTTGAGAAGTAACATGAAATACCATCAAGAGTAAGAATTTTTTTCCCATTAAATGTGGCTGACCATAAACAGTATAAATTGTCAATTTAGAGTTATTCTGTAAAAGATCAGCTAGATTATTGTGATGAGGTTGAAGCAGAAAAAAAATAAAAAATACATTTAATGTTGTCTCAATGAAATCGAAATTGAAATCAGTTTTTTTTCTAAAACAGTGCAGCCCCATTTTTTTTCTTATATTGACTTTTTATTCATTCTAAAGTTGTAAAACATCATACAAGAAATGTTCACAGAATACTGAAACGTTTCCAATTTCAATGCCAGTGCAGTAAGCTGAACATACTGTTACAAACACATTGGTAACTTACAGTTATGTGGGGCACAGGTACTCAGGTGTAGTAGGGACAGTAGGCTATAAAGAGCCAACCAGAGCAGACCTTCTGTCAAGTCCCCACAGTTTTCAGTTCCAAAATGACTCAGGACAACTCGATTTTCAACAGTCAGCATTATCAGTCATCCAGCTCCAACAGTTTAATAATCCATCGATACTATTCACATCCCGTTTCTCGTGGTCAGCGCAATTCATCCATTAGCATTGGGTGAGAAAAAGTTTTATCTCACTTTAGCTCAGTGGTTCTCAAATCCAGTCCTCGAGCCCCCCCGTCCTGCATGTTTTGGATGTTTCCCTGCTCCAACACACCTGATTCAAATGATCAGCTCGTTATCAAACTCTGAGATGGCTTACTAACGAGCTGATCATTTGAATCAGGTGTGATGGAGCAGGGAAACATCCAAAACATGCAGGATGGGGGGGCTCGAGGACTGGATTTGAGAACCGCTGCTTTAACTTCAGGTGTCCTGATAGAGGCCGGCAGCAGAAGGATCTCCGGACCTGGTACGGAGTCCAGTCCACAGGTCCAGACAGGCCATGACTGACTCAGCATGTTGCAACCGAGATGCGTTCTGTGTCTTGGTAGAAGAGGACTGGGAAATAAACGACTGAGTCGTCTGACCAGAATAGAATAGAATATAGAATAGAATATTCCTATATTGATCCCTCATGGGGGAAATTTTTTGTCAGAAACAGTGCTAAAAACTTTTCACACCAACTGCATTGAACCACCTTTAGGGGGGGCCCAGCTCGCAAAAGGTTGAGATGTGTTCTGTGGTGTTGTGTTTGCTTGGATTCTTACAAATCTTAATTATCTCTGAGACTACAATCCTTATCATTTCACGCCGTAGTCACGGACTTGGTCTTTTCTGTCTTTCCAGACTTTGTGTCAACTCTTCAGAGAGCTTCTGCCATGGTATATTTAAAATATATCATGGCAGAAGCTCAGCGTCATGTTTTAGAGTGTACATGTGGTAATGTGAAAGAAATTCACCATCATACACTTTTATCAGAAAATGTAGTGTATGTGTCAGGGGGGTGTGGATGTAGGACCCAAGTGCAGCACAACAGCAGGTAGTTGTTTCGAAGCTACTTTTATTGCAACAGTTCACAGCAGACAGGTATTTCAGAAGGGAACTGAAAATACTGGGATCAATTTAGCAGTCTCTGTAGAATTTCCAAGACCAACAGGAAACAGATCCACAGGAAACAGGTCCAACAGGCAGAAAGGTGAGTGCACATGGGAAACACACTACACCTGAGAGTCTTTGCGAAGTGCAGCAGCACTGCCGAGGGGCAGGCTGGGCTCGTGGTCGAAGCGGAGGCAATGTCGAATCCAGGCAGACAATCAACGGGGCAGACTAATTCCAGAGGGATCAGACAGAAGGATAGTCGTGGACAGGCAGTAGGTCGGGAAGCCAGCAACACAGCGAAACCTGAAGTTCTCAACGGAGCGAAGAAACTTGACAGGGGATCCAAGGGCTGAGACGATAAGATGTGGTCAGAGACAAGCAGGAGTCGAAACCAAGAAGGCAATCCAAGAAATAATGCTGGGGAGTCATGCATGCTGCGAAGACAATCTGGCACTGAATGAGGGACACAGAGTGACTTAAATACTGGCTGGATAATCAGCAGTGAGGAGCTGCAGCTTGTCATTCACAGGTGTGGGGAATCAGCGCTGATGAGGAGATGTGGCAGGGAGGTGAGTGAGAGTCGGCCTGAGAAACACAGCAGAGTGTGACAGTATGATCATCTTTCACAAGAATGAGTATGATTTCACCAAACTCCACTGATTCGTCATTCTTAGTCACAACAAACTGACCTTTCTAACAAGTTATCCCATTATACTGCTCTAAGTACAATGGTGACATCTTTTATTTGCAAGGCTGGAGGACTGACTGACCCTGCAGAAAGATAGGACTGATACATCTGATGCCTCTCTGAAAGAGTCAAACACAGATTTTTGAAATTCTTCAGATGCCTTGTACATCTTCTGAGGGTAACTATGTTTGCTTTCAAAACGTATAGTCCATACCCGGATGAGGCCAAATTTGAGGATGAGTCCTGGATAATGCTGTAAAAATGATGTTTGGGTCTGAGGATATCTGGAAAGAGTTCCTTCCTGGATTGCAAAAATTCTTGGATTAGAATATCCAGATAAGCTAACTGATCCTTGGAAATTTGTGGAGCACAAATTAGGTCAACAATGTCCTTAAGCAGCAAAAGTAACTGCCACACATCATCTTGTGTGTCCTGCACTTTGTCTCCAATTATTAGAGGCAACAGTCTCAATAAGGGGGGGGGGTCTGGGGGCCTGCGGGCCTGCAGGCAGGTCTCGCGCGAGTGGGAAGGGACCCGAGGTGGTCCACAAATTTCTTCTTCTTCTTCTTATTGTTGTTATTATTATTATTATTATTATTATTATTATTGATATTGTTCGTGTATTATAATTTTCTTTTGCTTGTCTGACAATTGTAATATTTATTTATTTATTTATTTTTTCATTATTATTCACATATATAATACACACACCCACACACACACAAAACCACAAATGCCATTGTTTGTTGTATGTCTTTTATTGTCACACTGCACAAAAAAAAAACAAAAAAAAAAGTTCCAGTTTTGGACCGCATGTCCTTGCAGCTTCAGTGTTTGAGGACTGACCTCACAAGGTTTGGAGGAAGTTCCTTTCTGTTCCTTTGTATTTGAACTGCTTGATTCATCTCTTTAAAGTTGTGTAAGTGAACCATTTCCTTTTGTTGACAAAGAACTTGAGGTAAAGGCCAACATCATAAGAGAGGACACCCTCAAAGATATCATGAACGAGACAGGGGGGCATGCCAGGTGAACAAACATCAAAGTTTTGTAGCGTATTTTAAAACTGACCGGAATTTTATCCGTTGCACTTGTGGAACATCCTCTGTCTCTGTGGTGAGACGCCTCCTCATCCTGTTTTATTTTGGCTGGACTTCCTGTTTTTCCCTGTTTGCCTGGTCTGGCTGTACTCTTTTTCCAGAGCTTCCTCCCCTCCCCCGGCGCTGAGGCTGAGTGAGACGACACACCTGCTCCTCATCTCCAATTAAGGGACTTTAAGAAGCCTGCAGCCCTCAGTCTCAGCGCCTGAGTATTGTCTACCCTTCCTAGCGGTACAGACGCGTCTCCTGGCCTTCCTCGTGGTATAACTTTGAGAACTTTGCTCCTAGTGACTCTTTTTCATGTTCTCTAACTCCTGTCTCCTCTGGTTTCTCCTGCAGTGTCTCCAGCCCACACGACAGCCAGCCAACCAGCCAACCACCCGGACTTTCTTTGTTTCCTTAGATATCCCTTTCTGTTTTGGACATTAAATTCGCTTTACGTTGATCCCTGTCTCAGTGTCTGCTTCTGGGTCCTCACTACGAGCCTGCCTCACAACAGTCTCCAGCTGTTCAATGGCAGCTCTGTATGTTTCTGGAGTCCGCTCCAATCCACAAATGCTGGGATCAGCACTCTGAAATTCAGTTCTTGAAATCAGATGATATCTACATAAGTATTCAGAAGAGCTGAAATTTTCTGTAAAACTACCAGTGTTTTGAGAGCCAAGGTTGTCTCCAGCAATGCAGTAGAGAGCCCCCTTTAAAACAGTTCCATCTCCCTTATTTATGTCTGGCAAAATTCCTTAAAATTTTTCTCCCTACTCAATAAAACCAGCTGCATATGGTCAACATTTGATCGTGCATGGGGGTGCATGTTGAGTAACGATAAGTATACAGACAGAACCTTGCAGGGTTTCCTCTACATGTAATTGATCATGGCACACCCCCACAGCAAATAAAGCCGCCACACCTGAAAAACTAGATGGTGTTTTTTAGGGCTGGGGCGATTCGTTGACGTAATTCGTCGATGTATTGCATGATGATGTAGACCAGGGGTGTCAAAGTCAAATGGACGGAGGGCCAAATAAAAAATTTAGCTACAAGCCGAGGGCCGGACTGATCGAATGTTCATTGAAAATTTTTTAAATGACGCATATAGTCTAGTGAACCTAATTGAACCTACTGAAAACCTAACAAATATATTCCAATATGATCAGATAAATAAAGCAATATTTTCTTATGGCTCTGTCAGTAATCTTTAATTTTCAACAGACACAAAAGACAAATTTCCTTTATATAAAAATCCCCATAACATGAACATTAAATGAAAGAAACCGGTATTATTCAAGGCACCATCAGTAGCCTATATTTTCTATTTTATTATTATTTTTTATTATTTATTATTATTTCTATTTTTTTAAAATAAAACTGGCCTTGACAGCAGCCTGGCCTTGTGATTTGGCTTTTTTGAACAGAGCCTGTCGAGATTTGAGGCCTCGTTTTAATTCCTCGGCCTTCTGTAGCCTTTGTTCCATGTCCATATTCTTGTTTTTGTCCGCGTGTTTCGTTTCATAATGTCGTCTCAGATTATACTCTTTCAGTACCGCCACACTTTCTCCACACAGAAGTTTTAATTTTACTGTTATGCTGACGACTGCTGTGCTAATAAATATTGAAATGAAGCAGCCTACTGCTCAGTGCGTCACCGTTGCATTATGGGAAATGTAGTATTGGTGCGTGTAAAAGATCTGCGGGCTGCCGGCTTGCTGCGGTCTGTGGGCCGGTTCTAATAATAAATCAAGATCATCCCAGGGGCCGTAAAAAACCTTCTCGCGGGCCGGATGTGGCCCGCGGGCCTTGACTCTGACATATGTGATGTAGACAATGGCTACTTCAGGTAATGGTGGAGGCATAGATGGCAAATAAGCTCCACCTAATGGGGTTGATTTAAAAACCACTTTAGCAAGATCTTTGAGTAGCTCCTCTCCATTAATGAATGTGTTCTTTTTGGCTTCCTCGTTTATATTTCCAAGATCGTGCTGCTTTCATTCAAGGAGACATGCAGTGACCTGTCGATAAAATAACCCACCGCTGGTGCAGCAAACACCACAGTGAATGCTGCATCATATGCCCTGCATCCCATATCTAATTCATTCACTTTAAGCAGTTTGCTCGGAGTTGAAGCATCAGTTTTGTGCTTTTATGTGTCCTATTACTCGCTAATTAATCAGCTGTGTGATCGCAGGCGATAGCTCGCTAATGCTAATACTCGGCGCACGCAAGCTCCGCTGCATATATGTATACTGATACCATACCTGCCAACACTCCTGTTTTTCCCAGGACTCTCCCGTATTTCAGACCTACAGTATCTCTCGCCCACCTCCTGTATTGTCATTTCTCCCGGGAATCTCTTGTAGTTTGATGGCCCACGTTCATTCATGAATCGGATCACTATATTTGTCCAAAGTTTCCAGACAACCGAAGATGCTCCTGTGTTTCTGCTGAGCCTCACAGACACTGGACTACTCCCTTTACTTTAAAATTTGGGATGATACAAGTCGGTTTAAGCTGTAAACTACATTTAAGCAGTGTTTGTTGCAAAATGAACACTTTAATGAAAGGGAAACAAATATGATATAATATTATATTGATAGTCTTTCACTGTCTTGGAGTGATGCATTAAGGGCAGCCTCAGATAAAAGAGTGCTGTGTTTCACACACAGATGTTCAGGGAACTTCATATAGCATATAAAACATATGAGGACTTTAACACTAATATTAGTGGACTAAATAAGTTCAAGGTATATTGTAGCTATTATTTTGTTATTACCATTTGTTATTGTTAAAACAAAAAAAGTGTGCAGCTTCACTTAGACTTATTTGGATGAGCTATTTAATTACAAATGCTCTCATAATTAGCTCATATCCACCATACAAGGTAACCCAAAAACTGCGTGCTGCTAAAATCTTCCGGATGTTATAACCTTAATGTTTTGTTTTGTTTGATTTCAAGAGATTCTTGAATAAATCATTGAATAAAATACTTATAGGAATAGGACAAGTTTTTACTTGCTATTTTGGTTAAATTCATTGTAATATTAATCGGTTGATAAAAAATAATAGTAAGAATAATCGATACATGAGTCGATAGATAAGTCGACAAATCAAATAATAATCCTGTTTAAAAGCTTGTCTCTAAAAGAATCATAAAATAACTTAAAGAATGAGGTTGGGACAGGGTCTAAAAGACATGTGGTGTTACCACTCCAGTATGTTCCAAGCAGCCAGGCACTCCAGGGATTCCACCCTTCTGGACAGAGGTGTCAATGTAGCTGTTCTTCAGAAGGAACTCCGTTAGTCATCGTGACACGATACTGAAGAAGATCTTGCCTTCAACGCTTAGCAGCGAGATGGTCCGGAACTGACTGATGTCCTTGGAGTCCTCTTCCTTGGGGATCCACACACCCTCAGCACACCTCCATTGGTTAGCAACTTTTCCCCTGCGCCAGATCATCCTCTGGATCTTCCACAGGTGACGAAGGAGTTGCGGGCAGTATACAGTGCTTGTATACAGTGTATGTGACTCCACTAGGGCCTGGGGCTGAGGCAGTTCTGGCTCCTTTCACCACTTCCTGAACCTCTTTCCAGGTTGGCTCCCTCAGAGCAAAATCCACTGATGGTGATTGTGGGCTTATGAGGGCTCTCTGAGGCTGTAGCTCCAGTTCTCTCTCTGGGTCGCTCAAGGTGTTGTGCAGGAAGGAGTTTACCTCTTCCGCTGAGCAGACTAAGCTGCCGCTGCACTTGTCCCCCAGGAGCTTCTTAGAGAAAGTGAAAGGGTTGGAGATGAAAGCGGCGCGCTTTCTTGCTCTTTCCTTTCGTCGCCTTCGGTGCCACTCTGCTCTGCGCAGCGTCAGGAGCTTCTTCCTCAAGATGTTGCGAAGTTCGATAAGCGGTAGCTTCTCATCTTTGCTAGCCACCTTATGCTGTTTTTTGAGGCTTCGAAGTTCCTGACGCAGTTTGTGGATCTGGGTGGCTCTGCGGTTCATGGTGTTGCTGGGCTTGATGTTGCTCCTCTCAATGTGGCCAAATCTCTCCGCTGCATAGCTGACAATGATGGCAGTCATGGTCTCAAGACGCTGGTCTACTCCACCCTTGCTAGTGGTTTCCAGGATCTTGCACACATCAGTGTCAAACTGTAACCATGCTGACTGGCTCTTAGCTGGAGCCCATTTGATCCGCTTCTGTTGGATTATTTTGCAGGGATTGAAAGGCTCTACTGCTTGGAGGGACTGAGCTCTGTGGGGCTCCTCCTGGCCGGACTCCTCCTGCGTCTCACCAGGATCAGATCCTGTGCGTTGCAGTATGTTCTCTTTCTCCCTGCATTTCATCCTAGCCAGATGTTTTTTTAGGCCATGCGTGTTCTTGCACACTTTTCCGCAGATGCATCTTGGATTCGTGGTCGTGTTTCCGTTTGCATGGTTCGATACCGTTGAGTCCGTCCGTTTGGGGTTCTCATTCTCCCCCCCTCACCGGCTCCCCTGGGGGTATTTCTCAGAAGGCTTCTTCATAGCAGTTTTGGGTTTCTCCCTCACGGAAGACACAGGTTGGGGTGCTAGCCCTTCCTGTCCCAGGTGCCGTCTTTCCGAGCTGTCAATTGTCTTTCCAATCGTCACCAAACTGTCCTTGGTTGCCACCCAGTCTATTCCTGGGTGTCACTGGATGAACCAGCTTCAAAGGTGAGAGATACATCCTGTGGATGCGCTGGGACACATCATCAGTGATGTTGTTTCCTGGCATCACGGGGGGTTTCGGGTCTTTTAACATCAGACCCCCTCAGCCCAGGCGACCCGGCCGGGGTGATCAATCCCCAGCCTGTGTCCCAGCAGCGTTTGCCCATGGTTCTGCCCTCTTAATCCAAAGCCATCTCGTGGCTTTCTCTGCGGCTTCAGTTGTGGATCTGATGGCCTTCCGTTTCGCCTCCCCGACAAGTCCTAGCTGGGTGAACACTCTGCAGAGTGACCGTCCGGCAAATCCCCGACAGCCCACCTCCACAGGCTCACAGGTTGTTTTCCAGCCTTGCCCCCTACACTCTTCCACCAGTTCCTGGTACTTGGCCCTCTTCCTCTCATTAGCCTCATCCATGCGTTCTTCCCATGGCACAGTAAGCTCCAGAATGATCAGCTGCTTGGTGGAGTCTGAGACAATGACCATGTCTGGGCGGAGCCTGGTTGATGTAATTCTTGAGGGGAACTTCAGTTGCCTGCCCAGGTCCACTTCCAGTTGCCAGTCGTTGGCGGAGGTGAGGAGGCCGGACTTTGCCCGTGGTGGTATGTTGGGCTTTTCTCCAGCTCTGTGGAATGTGATGGTCTTTGGCTTGTGGTGGCCTCTGCTGGTGTTGATGGCGGTGGCGATACTGTCTGCAACTGCCCTAAGCACCTGGTCGTGACACCAGCGATAGCGCCCGTCTCCAAGAGCTTTTGGGCAGCTGCTTAGCATGTGTTCCAGGGAGCCCCGTCCTGAGCAGCGGGGGCAGGATGGTGTCTCTGTTTTACCCCAGACATGGAGGTTTGCTGGGCTAGGAAGGACATCATACACAGCCTGGACAAAGAACCTGATTCGATGAAAGTCTGCTTTCCAGATGTTGGACCAGGTGATTTTCCGTTGCAGAACATTCTCCCATCTAGTCCATGCTCCTTGCTCCCCCATTCCCACCATCCTGCTAGCTCGTACTTCCTCCACACCTGCCCGTACTTCTTCCTGGATCAGCTGATGACGCTCCTTGCCCTGGGCCTTGTCAACTTTGGTTGAAGGAAAGTAGCCAATGCCTGCACGCCCAATTGCTATGGACCCCCCCAGTGCCGTCTGCTGCAGCCGTGACTCAGCCACATCTATTGCTTTTCCTACGTTCCATTTCCTGCCTGTTTTCACCTGGATCCCAGCTGCTGCCACCTTCGGATCTCTGGATTCTCTGTATTGCAGTGCTTCCCGTGTTCTGGACACCATGAACTCTTCAGTGAGGCCACTTATTGGGAACTGCAGTATGTTGCTGGTGCCATACAGAGCAGAGCTACTAAGATAAGGTATTCTTATAATGACATTGTAAATACAATTCATTGTAAAGGCAAAGGGATAGGTTCTCAGCCTTTCAGGCTCTTTTCATCAATTTTTTTGGTTTCTTATTTGGGGCTATTTATGTAGATCAGTTTGAAGTTGCTATTAGTGATACTATCAGTGAGTATTTTATTAATATACACTACTCACACAACAAGTTTGCTTTTATATCTTGAGTTTTATTCGTGATGTGTTGATTTTATTTATGCTTAAATTTTTATGCAAGTTTTTATCATGGTTTAATCCCTGCCTTGAAAGACTAATTATGGATTACCTGCACCGGTGTAGTTGTCCGGTTTGATGGACAGTCTGCTGGACCAATTAGGAGACTAACAGACTCCGCTCATCCAATCAGTGGCTGAGGGGAGGGTCGGAGTCGAAGGAACACAAGAGAAAAGGAGACAGTGGAGAACAAAAGAAGAGACACGAGGGGCATGGACAGAGCAGGAGAGCAAACCAAGGTGGTCGACAGAAACCAGCATAACAAAGAGCAGAACGTTGAGCAGAGACACAGAGACCTTACTAGTAAAAGAGTGTTTCAACGCGGAACACACGCAGCAGCAGAGTGGGGATGCTCTGCCAGCATTGTGACTATCCCTTCGGAGCGTTGCTCTCACCCCGATATACAAACAATACCTATTAAATAAGTCATTCTCCATTTCTCCCATATTACCAGTATTCATATTCAGCAACAGTACCTCACAGTAACAACAACTTTTGAACAGAGTGCCCCCTTTTGTCTTATAATCAGAATAGAAATACCACTTTCAACTCTCTATTACCACTTCCAGTCTCCCTTTCTTCCCTTTTCTCTTTTAAAAAACATAAAAGGTCTGAAACATTTCAAAAGAGCCAAACACTATGGCTCCCTAGACAAGTAAGAGATGTCGAGACAAACATCAACATGTATACGACAAGACAAACCTGATTTTCACCGGAGTGGGTCTTTAAAGAGCTATCACCCACAATATTTAGCCTATCTTTGACTTCAGCATCTCAATTTAGGTCTCTGTTCTGTTTAGGTGCCTCTCTATCGTTTGTTCTTGTGGGATCCACAGAAACAGGCAGAAAAGGTTTTAATGTACATTTTTGCTGTACATGAGTTTCATCCTTCAGAGAGTGAATCTCTATTCCAATGTTACTGAAGCTGCTGCTTTCTTCACATCCAACCTGGAAAACAGCTTTCAAGTGAGACTGTGTTGGAGAATTTCTTTGTACTACCCCAAATGAAGTCATCAACAAGACAAGCAAGAACCCCTATCACATTACAGGAGTCATCCAGCCAATTGAACACTGCTGGACCAACTTTCGACACAGTGGCTCCCAACATCAACATGATGTCTTTTACTCTGTTATACCAATACATGTAAGTATTTGCTGGCCCAGAAACACACTTTTTAACTTCCATAGATAGCACTGCATTTGGGCTTCTTGGGGAAGCCTGATGTACACATTTCAAGTCAATTCTTTGCCTTGGAGAAAGGCTGCTTTAGCGTTTATAGAGTTTAGCCGCCTCTCATTTGGGCATATTACAGCCATTATAATTTTCAGGGACTCTGAGGCATAGGTAGGTGAGTCTTTTGGAACTCCTCAGTACTCTTCTCTTCGAAGCCTCTTGCAACCGACCTAGCTTTGGGTACAACTCTATCAGATGTTTCCTTGAGTGGGCACACCCACCTTGTAGAGATGCATTTCTGGCCCTTATCCTTCATCCTTCATTCTTTTTCCAGTTGTTGAGTTCAGTGTGTTTGGCAGCCACTAACACGTCATCATTTACTGCAAGAATTTCATCTTTTTGGTTATGGTTTTGGTTTCAAGTTAAATGATCTTGGGGTTCCAGTAATTTCCTCAGGGTCTGTGTATTGAAGATTGTACCAGTCTTTGTGTGTTCTTGTTGCTTTTCCTGCTCTGCTGAGAATTTTTCCTGTGTGCATTAGACCACTACCATTATCTGTGACAGTCACTACTTGTCTAGCTGTTAGCTTTAGGCTTGCAGGTGTTTTCTCTGGAACTGTTGGTACTGTATCAGAACATTCATGCAGATCCTCTGATGGCTGTTCTGTTGTCTGGGAGGATTCACTGCTTTCACCCTCTTCAAGGGGTGCATTAGTTGCAGTGCTTTCTTCCTGACCGTCATTTTCAGTGTCAGTATTATTACTGAGTTCAGTTCTGGTAAAGAATTCAGATTTTCAGTTTTCTCTGTCTGATTGTCCACATTATTCAGGACTCCTTGGAGAGTATTTGCCATTCAAAGCCAGGAGTGATGTACTCTGACACAGGTGCCCCCACGCCTTACAATTATTACTGCTCCATCTTGGCCAATGACAACACCGGGGTCCCTCCTGTAGCAATCAAGACAACCCTGGGTGTGAATTCCTCACAGGAAAGTTTCCTTATCTGATCCCAGGAAACAGGATATAAATCTTTCCAGACTTGTTTACGCTTTCAGGTTGCCTAAGTGACCCAACCGGAGGTTGACCAAACTTCTGACTCTTCACGATTGGTCAATTCGGAGAACAGAGACAGAGTTTTTATTACCTTTTAAACTGACTCCATCACTGACCATCTAAATAAACACTAATGTCTCAACCCAGATCTCCCATTTGAGATTTAGCGTCTTAAAGTGTGTGAACATACGGACCCCAGGAAAAGGGGGGACACTGACCTCCAGACCTCGGTCGTAAAACCCTGCTCAACCATACACTGATAAAGACTGCATTCCTTTGGTGAAAGAATACAAATGACTGATCATGACATCTTATGCATTCAGCAATGTACTAATCTGTCTAATCATGAAATTTGTGTTAAAATGAGATGTTTCCCGTTTTTCTATGTGCTTCAGAAGCCAAATTATCACTCCGGATATCTTTAGACCAACAGCTTTTCAGACTGTTTCATGAACTTTTAAGAGTTAAATTTATTGATTGTGACTCATAACTTAGCTCTAATTAACAGAAATGGTTTAGAAATGTTTGTTCTATATTTTAATCGTTTATTTAGTATTTTTAACCATTAGGTGGTTATAATGTCATTGAATAACCTGAATGTGAGTATTTAGAATCCATTATTAATCATGATGACGTTCATTCACATGTATTTACTCTTTTGTTGTTCACAGTTTCCATGTGTTACTATCTGTTTCATTTCAGAGTAATTTAGCATGTTCAATGTGATACTTAAAACATAATGAGAATGTTTGATGTGATCCTACACTTCATTCATATGTGTTTAGTATCAAATTATTTATCATGAAACCAAACATTCAATGATATTAATCATAGTGAGTGAGTATCAGATCTGACTCTTTTGCCAGCCAAAAGAATAAGTTAGATCAAATAATCAAAGACCACACGACCCCTCCTCTGTCTCCTCACACACACGCCGGAGCCACTCCCAGTGTGAGAAGATAAAACCAGTGAAGTCGGGTTGCTCACTCTCTCTTATGCTTCTGCTGACTCTCTTGTCCCCGGCTCTTATGCCCCTTCTCTTCTGCCCACACCCTTCTGTGGTGCGTTTCTTTGTTTTCTCTTAGAACTTTTTCTTAGTCTTCTAAGTTTTACGCCACGTGTTGATTCACGTTGATTTTTCTTTAACATCGTCTTAGTTCAAGTTTTGAAACTTCAACTCTTTGTGCACATAGCAATCCAAGATTAAGCCTTTGATTGATTTTTCTTTAATTTCGCGAAGCCATTTTTGAAAGTTTTCTCTGCTCGAGTCTCGTTTTTCTGAGTTTTCTGCGTGATTCAAAGTCACCTCTGAACGCAACCCAGCAGGCCCAGGTCATCCTCTGTGCCAAAGTTTTAAGTGAGACCAAAGAAGTACCCAAACGAGCATCCACAGGATCCACAGGCGCTGGCTTTGCTTCGGGCCCGAGTGCTGCAACTCCTGGCTCATCCTTCGGCTGACTTCAGTCGTCTTCTGAGCTGAACCGCTCGAACCGCCAGTAGCCCCGGACCTTCGGAACCTGCTCCATCTTCTCCAAGGACCAGTCTCACTTAAGTATGCAAACCTCCAGAGCTCTAAAGAGGGCTGGTGCTGTCTCCTGCGTTCATAACTCAGATATCCTCTTATTCTGGTAATCTTAGATTCCTCCAAATCCACATCCGAGTTTATCTCGACACCAAAGTTAGTGTAGGTTAATATGTTAGCGCATATTCACTCACTATCATTAACTTTAGTGCTCCTAGTCTGACTCAGAATATTTATTTATTCACCTATTATTATTTATCTTCATTATCTTATCATCATTTATTGCATGTATGTTGTACCATCATTTATCCTGTAATAAACAGATCATTATTTTTCTAAGTTCCTGTCTGTTAGTGTTCTTCCAGAAGTGGAGTCCCTGAAATTAGAATTTCGACTTAAGATATGAGACTGATTAATTAAGACTGATTAATTAAGACTGATTAATTAAAACTGACTTGATGTTTGATTTCTGAATCAAACTTTTGTTTTCTTTATTTTCCCACCATTAAGGGTGGGTGGTGCCCCTTTCAACGAGTGCATAAATGTCATAATTTGAGATTATTAATCTTCAGACATTTATTATAAATTCCAATCGCTACAGTATTATTTTAGTGCGGCCTTGTGAGGCTCATTTCAAATCGCTACATATATTTTGGTGCGACCGTGTGAGGCTCATTTTAAATCACTACATATATTTTGGTGCCCCGTGTGAGGCGTTTCAAACAAAACTTCTGGATACTAACAGACAACCTAAAACTTAGCCTTCCAAATTGATGAGAGAAACTTATTTCCAGGCTATTTTAGACTTGATCACAATCAATGCTATGCTTGCTGAAGTTGCTTGACTAAGTTCTGATGTTTTCCTGATCTATGCATAAAACCTTTATGCTCTGTGTTTCACACGCTTTTGTACTACATGCCTGTAGTCTGTGTTTGAGCTGGACAGCGTGAAATGTTGTTCTGAGTAGCAGTGAGACTGACTCTTCTGCTCTGTCTAGACTGTCCAATATTTAAGTGCACGATTGTTGCGTCGCCGTACGCTTGTATTTAAGGCCTTTGGCTGAACCCAGTGTTCGCGATGCTCCGAGCTGTGGTTTCAAGCCCCTGAAGTCTCTATAGTCTGCTACGAGGTTCTAGTTACTATATGGGATTCAGATTTCCTCCTTTCCCCTGACAGATTAGCTATCTGTCACAGGAAACCACTGTAACAGTGGGAGGTTGTTGTTTGATTGAATTGAGACAAAATTTGTGTCCACAAATCACCGCATTTGTGATTTTAAAGTCTGCAGTTGAATCTGCTGTTTAAGGATGTGCCACTTTGATTCTTGTTTCTGTAAATGATTTTATTGAACCAATCTGCCTGAGCAGATGGTGTAAAGTTCTATGTTTGAGGGTGCAGACGCAGTCTGCTGTGAAATGTTAACCCTTTGTTGTCAGTGGAGAGACTGACCATTTGGCCTTAAGCAGATAAGGCCCTTCAAGGAGGCAGAGCCTAAAGGCCCCTTCCTGCAGACTTCCCAACTCCTCACAGCCACAAGAGGCTAGTTGGATGACTGTTTCCTCTTTTCTTCTTCTTCTCCACTAGTGTTGAGCTTGTGCAGTTCTCCCAACTCCATACTGCCCCACATGGTTGCTTTTGGTATTGAGCTAACACTTATCTGCCTGCAGTATCAGCCAGCTGTACTGCCTCTCTGTAGTCAGTGCGTAACACTCTACAGACATAATTCAAGTGATTGACTTGGTTGATGAAGTTTGATGTGCTTATTCTAAATCATTGATCATTGATTTTTGATTTTTATCTTTGTTATAAGAGCCTCCATAATGTATTGATAAAGTAACTCCTTGAATCAATCACCTGATCTTGTTGTTACTTATCACATCATTGAGCAGTTTTACTGTTCCCTATAATACATGAATGTATTAACCCTCCTCATAAGATTGATTAATTAATTAATTAACAAATTAATTAATATTTGAAATTTCTTTTAACACTCCAGATGGATTTGGTAGTTGAACCTTTGGATTTATTGCAATTTGTGAATTAACTTCAGAGTTAATTCCTTAAATTGACAATTTCATTGATTTTTCAAATTCATCCAACTGCATCAGGCAGTTTATTTAAGCTTTGCTGATCTCTGCAACACGGAGACAAATTGAACCCTTTATTCAATGGTTCTGTATCTGATGTTAAATTTAATTTAACATTATTTCACCTTGTTTTTCTTTCAATTTTCATTGAAATGAAGTTAACTTTATGTTATTTTTCTCTCCATTAGATATCTACTCAGATAGGCTCTTCCTCTTTATCAAGCACTGATAAATTAAGTCGATTAACCCACTTAATTTGATATTGTGCTTCTTCCTTTCATTTTAAGTCAACTCAAACTCATCAACCAACCAGCTGCACCTCTTTACCAAAACCAAACATGCCTAACACAAAAGAGTCCAGCCAGAGAGACCCCCTGAGGGACATACACACAGTGTTGGCAAACTTGACTAGTCAGCTGATACCTCAGTACATGACTAAGATTCAAAAGGCCAAACCCTCCAATCCGGAGGATGAAATGGCTGACCTACTGGAAACAGCCTTAACCACGACACTTCGTGACAAAGAGCTCACTAGATGCATGTCTGTCGTGATGTCTTCTCAGCTTGGGTATAAAGACTGCTTGCTGGAATGCGCTTTAGCAAAGATAAAGGCGCAAAAAGACGAAAACAGCACACTGAAAAAGACGCTAGAGGAGACTAAGGAGTCTCTAAGTGTTTTAGAAAAACACAGTGCCAGATGTGAAGCGTCAAAGCTTCCCTCACTGATAAGTCATGAAGAAAATCTTGATCTTAAAGACAAGATTGAAAGACTTGATAAAACTCTTAACCAAAAAGAGAAAGAACTTGACAAAGCCAATAAGCATCTTGCTAAGACCACAGAGGATCTGATACAGTCAGAATCCCTGCTAGAGCAAGCAACAGAAGATGTAAAAGCTTTGAAAGCACTGGTCAAAGTGCGTGCTGAAGCTCTTGAAGTTAAGGAGAAGCAAACTTCTACCTTACAGCACCAGCTCCAGATAGCTCAAAGACAGTTAATTCTTTGTCAAGAACGGCAAGAAAAGACAGACAAAGGACTTGAAGATGCCCAAAGAGAGTTACAATGCTCCCTCCAGTCAGGTCGAGCCCAAAGAGAACGCATGGAGCAAACGTTTCTTGAAGAAATGATATATGATCAGCCTCCTGAGAGAGCGCCATCACTTACTTCCAAACCAACTCTTAAGTATCTCTCTCAGCATCATGACAGGACCCTGCTTGACCCTGAGAGGTCATCCTTAAACCAAGAGTCCTACTCTCCTCCTCATGATGGCTTCTTACCATCTCCCTCAGACAGGGATCTTGACAAAATTGCTCGTAACATAGCACGCTTTGAACCTGAGCACCAAGGTGCTACTGACACCTGCACCTACTTGAAAGACATTGACTTTTACCTGCGGAAATTTCCAGGTGCAACCGTTGATAACAAAATCTACCTTATTAAGGCGACGTCAAGTCGAGAGGTTAGCAGCTTCCTTGAACGACAGCCTTATCATGTCAGAAATAATTATGACTTGCTCTGCCAAGCATTAATTGAAGAGTTTTCTGATCATTTGACCCAGACAGGCCTCTCTGCTGCTCTGTCTATTAAACAAGGGAGATCAGAATCTCCCCAACAGTATTACAACCGCTTACGCGAAGCTTACTTTGGTTTCCGAAATGAACCAGAAATGGAGGAGGACTTGAACTTCAAAACGCTGTTCGTCCAGAACCTCCACCCTACCACCAGTCATCACCTTGGCGTCTTAGCTTGTCCAAACACTTTGACTAGCCGACAGCTTCGTGAACTTGCTGTAAAAGGTTTTGCCAAACAACGACAAACTTTGGCTAAGAAAGCAGCGCCCGTTACTCTCTTGGCTATGGAGACAAAATCACTGCCCATGGAGCTGAACGAAGCTTCAGATTGTGTATTTTCAGGCTCCGATAAGCCTCCACATGAGTGGTTAACCAGGCCTCCAAAACCTTTTCGACCTCAACAAACTCACAAAGGTCAAAGTTACACACCAAGGCCCAGGTCTGACACAGACCAATGCCGAGTAAACTTTGAGACCAACTGTTGTTATTCAGACTCCCGTCAAGGTGGATTTTATCCCAGACAAAGGAAAAACCATCAACACCGCCAAAGGGGGGTGAGTGACTGGCAGAATCAGAGTAAATCACACTCTCAGAAACGACGATCTTATTATCCACCTCAATCGGTTTCATCCACTTTGAAGGTGAATAAACATGACTACTCAGCTAACCACTGAGATTAACACTGCGGAGTCATGAAGGTGTGAGTCCTGCAAAAGCAGAAGTCACTCAGCCAAAGCTAAATGACTCCAATAAGATATCCAAATGCTGTGGTGATACATTGATGACTGCAATCCCAGTTGCTGCTTTCTTTGTTAGCATTTGTCTTTCCTCTGTCAATATGGTCAGCTAGTCAGCTGTCAAATATCCCATGAACAGATTAAAACCTGAAATTTCTGTCATTAAGACTCAGATTGACAAATTTCAGACTCAACAGCAGATAATTAGTCAAACCAATAAGAGCATCATCCCCAAGTTTAACAGACAAAGTTTAAGAGAAACTCTGTGCAGTAAACTTTTGATGTTTGTGATTCAGGTTGACTATGCTCATACACAGATGGTTAATATGTCTATAGCAGACATTTCTTTTCCACCTAAGTCTTAACCATTTTTGAAACTGAAATGGAACTTTCAGACTTCTCCAGCAAGCATGAAAAACAGCTATAGCTTTAGATCCAGATAGGATTCAGACTAAAGAGTGCTTTTCTAAATCTCATTAATACTAAAAATTAGGAGATTTTCTTTCACATTAGTCTACCAATAGTTAACTGAGAAAAGTCTAACAACTAGACGATTTTATTTGATAGCTTAATGCATGCTTAATTTTATCTCAAAGCAGTACTAGTGATTCACATAGTGATGATGAGACACATCAGTCCTATTTGCATACACCTGCTGCTGCTGCTGCGTCATGGTTGTCTACTCGTCGTCCCAATGCTCCTTGGACAGGACCACCGTGACGAAGGGGGGACTGTAGCAATCAAGACAACCCTGGGTGTGAATTCCTCACAGGAAAGTTTCCTTATCTGATCCCAGGAAACAGGATATAAATCTTTCCAGACTTGTTTACGCTTTCAGGTTGCCTAAGTGACCCAACCGGAGGTTGACCAAACTTCTGACTCTTCACGATTGGTCAATTCGGAGAACAGAGACAGAGTTTTTATTACCTTTTAAACTGACTCCATCACTGACCATCTAAATAAACACTAATGTCTCAACCCAGATCTCCCATTTGAGATTTAGCGTCTTAAAGTGTGTGAACATACGGACCCCAGGAAAAGGGGGGGACACTGACCTCCAGACCTCGGTCGTAAAACCCTGCTCAACCATACACTGATAAAGACTGCATTCCTTTGGTGAAAGAATACAAATGACTGATCATGACATCTTATGCATTCAGCAATGTACTAATCTGTCTAATCATGAAATTTGTGTTAAAATGAGATGTTTCCCGTTTTTCTATGTGCTTCAGAAGCCAAATTATCACTCCGGATATCTTTAGACCAACAGCTTTTCAGACTGTTTCATGAACTTTTAAGAGTTAAATTTATTGATTGTGACTCATAACTTAGCTCTAATTAACAGAAATGGTTTAGAAATGTTTGTTCTATATTTTAATCGTTTATTTAGTATTTTTAACCATTAGGTGGTTATAATGTCATTGAATAACCTGAATGTGAGTATTTAGAATCCATTATTAATCATGATGACGTTCATTCACATGTATTTACTCTTTTGTTGTTCACAGTTTCCATGTGTTACTATCTGTTTCATTTCAGAGTAATTTAGCATGTTCAATGTGATACTTAAAACATAATGAGAATGTTTGATGTGATCCTACACTTCATTCATATGTGTTTAGTATCAAATTATTTATCATGAAACCAAACATTCAATGATATTAATCATAGTGAGTGAGTATCAGATCTGACTCTTTTGCCAGCCAAAAGAATAAGTTAGATCAAATAATCAAAGACCACACGACCCCTCCTCTGTCTCCTCACACACACGCCGGAGCCACTCCCAGTGTGAGAAGATAAAACCAGTGAAGTCGGGTTGCTCACTCTCTCTTATGCTTCTGCTGACTCTCTTGTCCCCGGCTCTTATGCCCCTTCTCTTCTGCCCACACCCTTCTGTGGTGCGTTTCTTTGTTTTCTCTTAGAACTTTTTCTTAGTCTTCTAAGTTTTACGCCACGTGTTGATTCACGTTGATTTTTCTTTAACATCGTCTTAGTTCAAGTTTTGAAACTTCAACTCTTTGTGCACATAGCAATCCAAGATTAAGCCTTTGATTGATTTTTCTTTAATTTCGCGAAGCCATTTTTGAAAGTTTTCTCTGCTCGAGTCTCGTTTTTCTGAGTTTTCTGCGTGATTCAAAGTCACCTCTGAACGCAACCCAGCAGGCCCAGGTCATCCTCTGTGCCAAAGTTTTAAGTGAGACCAAAGAAGTACCCAAACGAGCATCCACAGGATCCACAGGCGCTGGCTTTGCTTCGGGCCCGAGTGCTGCAACTCCTGGCTCATCCTTCGGCTGACTTCAGTCGTCTTCTGAGCTGAACCGCTCGAACCGCCAGTAGCCCCGGACCTTCGGAACTTGCTCCATCTTCTCCAAGGACCAGTCTCACTTAAGTATGCAAACCTCCAGAGCTCTAAAGAGGGCTGGTGCTGTCTCCTGCGTTCATAGCTCAGATATCCTCTTATTCTGGTAATCTTAGATTCCTCCAAATCCACATCCGAGTTTATCTCGACACCAAAGTTAGTGTAGGTTAATATGTTAGCGCATATTCACTCACTATCATTAACTTTAGTGCTCCTAGTCTGACTCAGAATATTTATTTATTCACCTATTATTATTTATCTTCATTATCTTATCATCATTTATTGCATGTATGTTGTACCATCATTTATCCTGTAATAAACAGATCATTATTTTTCTAAGTTCCTGTCTGTTAGTGTTCTTCCAGAAGTGGAGTCCCTGAAATTAGAATTTCGACTTAAGATATGAGACTGATTAATTAAAACTGACTTGATGTTTGATTTCTGAATCAAACTTTTGTTTTCTTTATTTTCCCACCATTAAGGGTGGGTGGTGCCCCTTTCAACGAGTGCATAAATGTCATAATTTGAGATTATTAATCTTCAGACATTTATTATAAATTCCAATCGCTACAGTATTATTTTAGTGCGGCCTTGTGAGGCTCATTTCAAATCGCTACATATATTTTGGTGCGACCGTGTGAGGCTCATTTTAAATCACTACACTCCATTCAGTACAATCTATCCACTTGTAGCAGACTTTGTCCCCTGTGTTGTACTGATCCTCCATTGGCTGTAGCTGTTTACAGAGAGCTTTTTTGATCCCGTTGGAGCATTCAGCCGCTGCAAATGCTTTCCTTGCAGCATGTAATGCAGTGATGTTTTGGGATATCCAACTGCTCTCTAGAGCAGGGGGCTTATCAGTGAACGCTGATGGCAGATTTGGGTTTTGCCCAAACACCAACCGGTAATGACTGTAGCTGTGTATATTGTGCATTGAGTCTTTTTTGCCATCATAGCCCGGTCCAATGCTGTCCCCGGTCACATCCATTGTCTCGTTTAACTGCATAAAAGGCAAGGCAAGTTGTACAGCATCTTTTACACACAAGGCAATTCAAAGCGCTTTACAGATGCAAGAAAATATATTTGAAATGAAAAAAGAAATTTAAACAATCTAAAATCAAGAAGACAAACCGATTCATGTTTGTTTTTTGTTTGGCCTAATTATTTTTGAAAACCGTCATTTACCAGAAAAACAAAATAAATCATAAGCTTTTAGACTCAGAGCTCCCCAGCACTCAGTCTATAAGACTCGACAGGACCCCAAGACCTGCCGTGTTTTGTGTCATTTACTGCTTCCCGAGTGCATGGGAAGCAGATATACTTGCCCATCCTGACACAGCATTCAACACTTGAAAAACCAGAAAAACTACTCTGGGAGACCCACTAACTGCGATGGTGCTCTAAAACGATCCAGGTGCAGAAAAATGCAGTGTTTCAATAGGAGATATGGCATGTATCTATTCTGAACCATGCCGTATTTTCTATTTCTGACAGTCCAAATATGTTGACACACTCTTGAAAGGCGTGCCTTTCAAACATGCTTGTGTTTGAAAGGCACGTGCTGTTTTGTCCATTTGACAGACACAATCCTTGGTGCACCTGGTTAGCGGATCAGCTTTGTATGCGCTATCAAGTTTGCATGTGTTTTTAGTAGCTCAGGCTTTTAGTCTTTCCAATCATGGCTGGGATTGTTACTATCTTTGTCGAATAAACACATCTGCCATCGCCAAACCTGAACGACCCTGCACTCTTTTTGTCCTAAATGTTGTCTAATTCATTCTGTTTCAGTGCACTGAGATAATGAGCCAGCCACTTTTCTCCCCATACAGTTCTTGAACAAGCTTTTTTTTCTCCCCTTTTTTTTCCTCTTAGGATGTTTAGTATATTTAGTCTGTATCTATTGTATATACACTGTGTGCACAATTATTAGGCAAGTTGTATTTTTGAGGATAAATTTTATTTTTGAACAACTACAGTGCTCTCGGTCAATCCAAAATGTTAATAAACCTCAAACCTTAATATTTAAGGGAGTAAAAGTGAGATTTTGACTTCCTTAGGCGAATATCTATGTGTGCACAATTATTGGGGGCAGCTATTAGTGTGCAGAATTATTATGCAACTAAATTAAAAATGAAAAATTTTCCATCTCACTTGTTTATTTTCACTTATTAAAGTGAGAATGATAAACAAACAACTCAATTTACAAATAAAAATTGTTGAAATTTAAAAAAAAAATCAGTGACCAATATAGCCACCCTTCTTTTCATTAACAGTCATAAGCCTTTCATTCATGGAGTCTTTCAGTTTCTTGTTGACGATCAACTTTTTGTGTTGCAGTAACCAAAGCCTTCCAGACACTGTTCCAGACACTGTTCAGAGAGGTGTACTGTCTTCCTTCACTGTAAATTTCCCGTTTACAGTTTTTCTCAGTCGCTTTGGTACATTTCTCGAATCATCCTCGACATTTGCAAAACAGTTAGTTCTTTTCTCAAAACAATTTGTACAAATAGCAAAACACCATGGATTACCTGCAAAAGCCAGTCTCTTGCTCAAAATCCTTAGTACATCTCTCAAAAGTAAATATCTGTGTCAATGAACATGTCAGTGCCATCAGAATGACAAGTCCTTGTGTCATTGTGTACGGATAAGACAGTCAAATTGCTTAGTCATGTTGTCAATATAACAGTGTACTCTGGAGGGATGTTCTGATGTAAACTATGGCTAAAGTTTTGATGACAATCATTGTAAATTGTAAGTTACACCTCAGTGTATGTGGGAGATTGATTGCATTGATTGCAAGAGACTGTAATTTGATGACAGACCATGTCATTGCGATACAGAAAAGAAAAAGACAGCACTGCAGAGCACAATAAAAAAAACAAAAAAACAAAAGTAGAAATGTGAACATAGGACAATTTCCTTAGGGAAAACTGGAAATGCAGTGCTGTAGGAATTACAGTACAGTCTTCCTACACCTCCTGATGTTCCTGTCTGTTGGGCAACAAATTCTTATCCACAAAATGTCACTCATCCAAAATGTCACTGTATATACTATACTTACTGTATATTGTAAAATGAAAGTCGAATACTGCAATATTGTATGAAGCATTACAGAAAGTATACAGTATTACAGTACAGTGCCTATTGTTAGATTACAAACCTGTTCTGTCAACGAAAAGTCTGAATGATTGAGGACACAGTTGTTCTCCCAACATTTGGCTGCACCCTTCGGCCAGCCTCAGCCATTGTAAGCCCATGATTGAGAACGTGGTCTACAAGTGTAGCTCTTATCTCATCAGGAACGTGCATTTGTCCTCTGCCTCTTCTGCCTCTTCCTCTGTTTTGCCTCCCAACTCCTCCGCCACGCAGCCTCACTCCTCTTCCTCTTCTTCTCTCTGGCTGTTGACCCCGTCCATTTCCTTGTCCTTCCATTGTCAGACATTGTAACATTGTGTTGTGCCCTGGCAATATATACTTGCCAGTTGATGGTTCATGAGATGCACCTTTGAGCTGTTTCAGAAAAGTGGTTGATCATTGGTTGATCTAATGCTTCACACATTTCCCACCGTTAGAGAAAGTCAAGATTCACCTGGGAGCAATTTACCAATTCAGGACAGATTCAGAAACGTCTAATGGAAATGTATAGAAATATGCTTGACATATTATGACAGCGTGTTCAACCATTTTGCATGTAAAGACTTGTGCGATGAACTAATGCCTAAATGTTGTGGGGGGTGAGACTATTCAACAGAGACCCATTATAGTACATTTTGATCAACATGACATAAGCAATTGATAATGTAGAAAACAGCAGAAAATTGTACATAATCATTTGCATGGCTGTACCAAAGCATTTGCAAGTTGTTCAAAGAAATGAGAAACTGCTTTTCTGATGTGCACAAGTGGCACAGTGATGTGAAGATTGAACACGTAGTTTTGAGAATTTCAATTCTGATCTGAGAAATGTAGCAAAGCAACTGAGAAAAACTGTAAGAGGGGCTCACAAGTTCTCAACAGGGTTTGGGTCAGGTGAAGAAGGAGGCCACGTCATTATTCTTTCGTTTTTAAGGCCTTTACTGGCGAGCCACATAGTGGAGTACTCTGTTGCATGCAATGGAGCATTGTCCTGCATAAAAATCATGGTTTTCTTGAAAGATGCAGACTTTTGCCTGTACCACTGCTTGAAGAAAGTGTCTTTTCAAAACTGGCAGTAGGTTTGGGAGTTGATTTTAAGTCCATCTTTAACCCAAAAGGTCCAGCTAGCTCATCTTTAATAATACCATCCCATACCAGTACCCCGCCTCCACCTTGCTGGTGTCTGAGTCGAAGTGGAGCTCTGTGCCCATTACTGATCCAGCCACGGGTCCATCCATCTGGTCCGTCAACAGTCACTCTCATCCCATCAGTCCATAAAAACCTTTGAAAAATCTCTCTTCAGATATTTCTTGGCCCAGTCTTGACGTTTCGACTGTGTGTCTTGTTCAGTGGTGGTCAGATTTCAGCCTTCCTTACCTTGGCCATGTCTCTAAGCACTGAACACCTTGTACTTCTGGGCACTCCAGTTCTGGAATATGACAGCACCGGAGGATAAGCGATTCCTGGTAGCTTTACGTTTGAGTCTTCTCAAATCTTTGGCAGTTAATTTGCGTCTTTTTTTCTTAACACATTTCTTGCGACCCTGTTGACTATTTGCATCAAAATGTTTGCTGATTCTGTGATCACGCCCAAATATCTAAGCAATTTCAAGAGTGCTGCATCCCTCTGAAAGACTTTTTACATTTTTTGACTTTTCAGAGTCACTTAAATCTCTTTTTTGGCCCATTTTACTTGAGGAAAAGAAGCTGCCTAATAATTATGCACACCTTGATTTAGGGTTTTGATCTCCTTAGGCCCCGGCCTCCACCATTACACAAATACACATTACCTGATATGCTTATATCCAATAAGCATTCAAGTTTATACAGCTTTGAGTTGGAAAATATGCATAAAAATGATATGATCAAAATACTCACTTGCCTAATAATTGTGCACACAGTGTATTTAGTATTTTTAGTATTTTTAGTCTGCATTGTACAGACTTCCTCTTATATTCAATTTTATTTTGTATTTTTTTGCTGCTGTAACATGAGAATTTCCCAGTTTGGGATCAATAAAGAATATCTATCTATCTATCTATCTAAGCTGCATCAATTACAGCTAATCTCAAGGATTCGACCATGAAGATTTCTGTGTCAGACAGAAACTCTTTTGACAAAAAAAAAGTGATGTTACACTCTTCAACAATATTTGTTTTTGTTCATCTGCTGTGAATTTAGCATGTTCATTCTTATTTAGACAGTCTTTTACCCACTGGTAAGTACTCTGACAGACTGCAAATCAGTTGTGTTTCCCATACCTGTCAAGTGGATTTGTGCCCTGCACGGTCTTTTGCAGGACTTTAGGTTCTCTCCTACCAGTATTCCTGGTGTAATAGGCAGAGTCATTACCTCCGCTAAAATGTTCACAGGCGGTCTCTTGTGGTGTGCTGTCACCAAAGATTCTCTTCAAGGCAGTCTTCATGCTATCAAATGAGAGGCTTGGACACACGGTAAGAGCAAGCTGCATATTAAACTTACTGATTCTGTTGTATGGCTGTTCAAATTCAACAATAAAATCTACCATCTGAACACCATTTTCCCTCATTATCTGGTCTAACACCATGTATGCCTCGTACTGGCAACCTTTTTCCTTTTTTAAAAGTCCAGTTTCGTTAACACACACAAAAAAATGTTTTTTTCAACCCAATCACTAGGTTAAGTGACTGCTCCCAGTGTGTCCTCCACTACTGTATAATTGTGAGTGTGGTGGTGGTGGTTAGAGAGGCCGTAGGTGCAAACTGGCAATCACATTTCCGTCAGTCTGCCCCAGGGCAGCTGTGACTACTAAGGCAGTTTAACACGACCAAGGTGTGACTGTGTGAGCGAATAAATGATGTCTTCAATGTAAAGTGCTTTGAAGGTCTCTGATAAAGTGCTATATGAAATCTGATGCTCTAATGTAATTTAAAGCAACATGCTGGGTTTAAAGAACCCAGCAGAGTAGTTATTGTAAACCCTTAGTTGGGTTACATGAACAACCCAATTGAGTTATATAAACAACCCAATTGTTGGGTTAAGTGAAGCAACCCAATTAGTTGGGTAAAATTAACCTAGCATGTGTTCTGTCCAATATTTACCAGCACTGGGTTGAAAAACTACCCAAGTCGGAATGTTTTTAACCCAACCATTGTAAGAGTGCAGTTTAGTCATTCCATCATCCTTGTTTAAGTCCTCCACTGCTTTTTCCAGCATGCTGTCCCTCACATGTTCCATTAAGAACAGTGCTACTGCTAACACCTGCTTCTTCTTGTCCAAGTCTGTGACTAGCTTTAAATTTTGACCTCATTTTACCAGCTTTTGTATGACTACTTCTCGTCAAACGGTGGCAGAACTTTGCCTGTGGCCATCCTCTCCAACCAATGTTAGCTTATTAACTATAATGACAACTTCTCGTTGGACATACTCCTTTAATGGTATAACTTGGTTATGATAATGGTTACAATAAATTTTCCCTCTGACAGACCTCCCCCTTGTGTTTTATAATCAGGATAGAATATATCACTTAACAGTTTGTAGTAGTCTACAGCAGGTTTTCTTGCTTTCATCTCAGATTTTTACAATTAGGAGAAAAATCTTTAGAAACTTCCTGAAAGTGAAAAAGTTTCAACTGAAAAGACTCAAATATGACTAAAAGCTTGTCAAATGAGTTGACCTCATTATTAAGTTTAAGTTTTAAGTGAAAGCAAACACACCTGCTTCATTTCTCTCTCCCTGACTGAGCTAGATTGTAGTCACAGACCAGACAGGGTTTAAACCTGTTACTGCGTCCTAGCACATGATGATCATGTTTTACTGTTGGGCACATAATGTCTGTAATATGATTGGAGTTATATCACATATATGTTTGTGTTTCTATGCCTCCTTTCTAACACAGCTCCATCACTGACACACACAGAGTAATCATCTTACAGGAGTCAGTAATCTGTATGTTCGTATACAGTACACTGGGCTTTAAACCCACAGGCAAATCACACAAAAGAGCATCAAGATAAAGCTCTGAAATCCCCAACTGGCGAGCTCTCCTAATCCCCCCACCTGCATCTCCTGCCGCCGCCAAACAGCAGCCATCCACATCGCCTGAGAAGGGATTTAGCCTTACTGCTCTCAGAAATACAATGCATAAAATCAAGTGTCAACTCTAACAAGCTGTTCTGAGGTTGGCCGCCCTGCCCCCCGAGTCCGTTGGAGTCTGGGCTCTGACTTGGAGAGGTTAGTGGCCGTACGATCCCACGGTTACACAAATTATGGAACAACTGTGGAGATCGGGATAACCTGGAGAGCCAGATGGGCTTCAGCGGGGCAACAGCTGCTTAAGTCAGCTCGCTGGCTGCCAGAGAAACTTTATCAGCGGAAGAGGAGGTTGAGATTTTACAGCAGCTAAGCCCCCTCCATCAAATTGTGAAAACAGAACCTTGTGGCGGAGCTCAGGGCGGATTTAGGAGTTTGCTCTGTGTTCTTTCTCCTGTGGGTGTTAATATAAAAATAGAGGAATGCAAAGAGCCTCAGTGCTGCTGTCTTCATGTTAGACTTTGGATCAACAGAGAACAAAAGTGAATTACTTCCTCCTGAAAGCACAGAAACTCTCCTTTAAACCCTTAAAGTGCTGCCACATGTGAGAGGATGCAGATTTCATTAAGGTCATCATAGAAATGACTCTTTCTCATACAAATCAATCCTCTTGTTTCTCTTTTGTTTCATTGTGATGATTTCCCTGCAGCTGAAAAGCAGAATATTTGCAGCGTCTAATCTTCCTTAAACACTCGACATCTTTTGGGTAAATCAGCAACTTCTTTTCTCCAAACGTTTCTATCTGTTCAAATATGGCAGCTCATTTCTGTGTGCTGATCCCGTTTACATTTCACATGATGTATAAGCAGGGCTGCAGTATGGAGAGACACAGAGGATCCCATCTCGTCCATAAGAGTGTTTGGAGATTAAAAAAGCAGCTTCTTTGGGTTTTATCCTAAACTCTCTTTTTCTTGCTTGTTTTCAGTCACAGCTCTTCTCTGTGTCGTCCTGGCCTGTTCATATGGAGGTCAGTTACCCGTTGACCAGGAAACACCCAGCTCTCTTTTAGTTTCACATGTCTTAGGGAAATGGTCACTGTTAATCTAAAGAAACATAATTTTCAGACTTAATATTACATCCAGGTTTGCGCCTATATTAACATGGTGGAGAATAAGGAGCATGACTTCTGAATAAATGACCTTTTTGTTTTAAAATACTGAGGATTGAGCTAACATTTCAAAGAAGTTAAAGTTTTCATGGAAATCATTTGTTTGACTCATTCAGCATCACATTTCACAAGTTCCTGCACCAAGTAATTCAAACATTATTGGTGAAAACAAAGGACCTTTTTTTCAACAATTAAAAAGTCCAACTTGATGCAAACGTATCCATATTGTTAACTGCCTACAAGCCTTGAAATGAGCTAACAGCATTCCCCAGGGATCTATACTGGGTCCTCTGAAATTCTTAACTCTCATCACTTATGTTTCAATCTAACTGATGTCAATTATAATGATATAGCACAGGGGTTAGCAACCTTTTTGACATGGAGTGCCATCATATTTTCCCTTTATAGTCAGAGTGCCACCACAGCCATATGAATAATTTTGTAAGTCAATACTACATTTTTATTGTCCATTTTGTGTACATGTCGTGCATTTATTTAGAAGAAATTGTCTTTATATCATTCAGAATCCTCCTAAACTGGTAGTTGATGTTTCCTTTACATTAATATTTCTTCACATCATAACAACAGTCAGTGACTCAGTGCAATATTGACTTTCACATCTTTTTTTCTTCACATCAGAACAGTCATAGACTCAGCATGTTTTCTCATCAGAACAGTCATACACTCAGATTTTTTTCCCCTTCTTTTTTCCCCCTGATGAAACATTCTCTGATTGGTAAAATGTGTGCCCCTTCACACTTTCTTCACAAATCCTGCCTGTTGTGCTGTTTACATTTTATTGCTTTTATTACACAGTAGGTTGTGTCATTTTTATGTATGAAACATAAGCTTTTAGCTAAATTTACTGTATATATTTCATTGCGCTGGGTGCAAATCACTTGAGTTGAGACGTTTTCTTCAAGAAATTTGCTACATTTCATAATCTGAATTCACTTGTGCGTATACTAAGGCACCAATAACTGTTTCAGGTTTTAGGTAGATGTATTTATGACATTTGAGAAAGATTCTGTCTTGCCAGAATCAACATAGCAGTTTCTACAAGCAAAAACAGCAGCACTATATAATTGTTTTTGGGTTACTCACATATATGTACATTTCTGGCTGGTGACAAAAGTCGGATAGATAGTCTGAGTAGATATTTTAACCCAAAGTCCAGAATGGTATTGTCTATGCAAAAATGCATTGAACAAGTAGCACCAGCGTAGTTGAACGAAATTCACTTTTAGGCACTTTTTCCTTTGTCCCAATACAGCTTATGACCTCGAGCGAAGTTTCTTTCGTGGAGTTTCAGGTGCCGTGGACGTGGATGCATCGGCGATGCTGCCTTAAGGGTTTGACTGACCCGTGGCTGCATCACGTTCTTGCTTCTCAAACGCCTTTTGCAAATAAATCGCCGGTAGCATGTCATGTGAAACCCAGCGTCATCAGGAACATTGTCAAAGTTGATATCAACGCAATGTTTATAAGTTTCTGCAAAGTCCTTTATCTCACCCTGTAGAGAAAGCCACTTTCTAATACTAGTTCTGTAAGTTTTCCAACATGTCCTTGTAAAGTCGAGAACGTCTTCACTCTGGACAGATGATAGATGCATATAGCACCGTTTTGTTCCTTTTTATGCACTTTTGAAGGCTGTTTTCTTTTTTCCTGTTCTTTTCTTCCTCTTCGCTTGTCTCGCTGCTAGATGCGGCATGTTTGTGTATTTCTGATACTATGGCAATGAGACTCGGCTCCTATTGGTCCACGTGACAAAAATCGCTTCACCCCTCTGCATATTCGATTGCGCGCGTGCAAGTATCACTATGCTGCAGAAGGGAAATAGTTCGACACCGAAACACTGATTACTAAAAATCAACAGGATGGCATGAGTAGATATTTTTATTTAGTACTCACTATCAATAGAGCTATTTTATGAATCACAGTTTATGTTGCCCCACTGAAGTGGAACGAGATTCACTTTCTAAGCACTTTTTCCTCTGTCCCAATACAGCCTAGAAGTATGACAGGTTTGAAGATTAAGAAAGGTTTAAATCAGTTTGAATGAGTTTACATTTCTTTGAAAAATAAATAATGCGTAATCAATGAGTAATTGAAAAAGGAGGAAAATTCAAATAAAAAAAAATACTGATTAGACCCCATAATGTCCTCATTGAGCTAAATTTTTTTAGCCCTGCATGGTTTCTGTAGCTCAAAGTTTGTGGGAGGAGATGGATGCCAAATTTTGTCAAAAAACTCTAGTGAAGGGTTTTAAATGTAATCCCCAGTACTCTGTGTACTGAGCCTGGCTTCATGTGTCTCATACAGCCATTAGAAGCAGCCTTCCAGCCAGCTGTGTGTCTCCAGGTGCTCTACTTGGTTGCCATGGTGACGGAAGATGCATTACTACAGCAGGAGAAAGGGGGCTTGAAGCTGAGAGAGCAATGTCCAAACAACGCCCTAATTCTCATCCTGTATAACCGCTTTCTTCATGATAATGAGCTTGTGAGAACCACAAGACCCGGCTGAACACGTTGATATAATTTCTGTGTTTGTGGAGCCAAAAATGTCTTCACTAGGACAATTTTAAAAACATGTCCAGTTTGTGTTTCCTCTGAAAATCCTCCTCTCAGGTTTATATTGGACTCAATGGAGAAAGCTGGAGAAATGTTGGGGATGACTTTGGCAGTTGGTGTCTGCCCAGGCCACTGTGTGTGTCCTATGGCTTTGATTTTTGAGATGAAGTGTGACAACAAGTTTTGCCATCACTGTACCAAATATTATCTGTGTTGAGTGAAGGGAGTTGCCACAATCCTTTTGTAAAGACAAAGTTTTGAGGATAAATTTTCAGCCCCTCTCACTCGAGCCATGAGGTCACCCACTCTAGCTGCCAACATTCCATGCAATATACACTAATGTTAAAACCTGAAGAGGTCAGAAAATCCTGTGACTGTTTGAACTGTCACTGTGAGAAAAGTATGAATGCCATGAAGGTGGTGAATAAATGAGTGAATGTCTGAAGGTGGGTGAATGTTTTAAAGTTTGAATGAAGTTTCTAGGTGAAAGTATGAATGAATGAGAAGAGGTTGAAGTTGACTTCGTCTGAAGCCCTTTTCCCATTGACTCCCATTATAACAAAGTTTGAAACAAATCTTAATAGCTTGAAAAGTACAAATGGGATTAAAAATGTTGAAGGTGTGGAATAATGCTGATGAATTTGTGAATATTCTGTTTTTTGAATTAAGTTTCTACGTGGAAGTATGGAGGAGTTGAAGGCTTTTGAAGTTGTGTGAAGAAAATGTGAGAAAAGGGCCAATATGAACAATGCATTTCTAATAGGAGAAATTGGTCGGACAACCTGGAATATCTCGGAAAGTATGAATGTTAAGAAAATTTTGAATACAAGCCTGAATCTCATCAATGAGATGAATATTTTGAAGTTTGAATGGTTTGAATATGTTGAAGTATGTGGAAGTAGTTGAGGGCCAAAAAACGGCAGAATAATAAAAATAAAGATATGAATAACATATAGTGGGAATGCTTCGCAATCCCATTCAATAATACATTTTATTTGAAGCGCCTTTCACGTCACTCAAGGACACTTTACAGAACATATAATAATAATAAAATAAAATAAAACAATAATAAAACACTATTAACAATTAAAGTCATCAATCATCAAAACAGTTAAAATCAACAAAGCAACATTAAAACATTTGACATAAACAACAGCAAAGGAATAAATACAGAAATAAATAATACTAATTAAAATTAAATGTAAAAAAGTGAGTTAGGAGTGGTGGGATGGATAGGCCAGTTTAAACAGGTGTGTCTTGAGT